AGATACAAACAACATTACATTATAGCTTTCCTGGTTACTCTGTAAACGTCAAATTCCCCCCATACAAACAGCATTACATTATAACGACCCGGACTATTCTGTAAACGTCTAATTGTACTGATATAAACAACATTACATTATAACGACCCTGGTTACTCTGTAAACGTCTAATTGTACAGATACAAACAGCATTACATTATAACGCCCCTGACTACTCTGTAAACGTCTAATGGTACTGATACAAACAGCATAACATTATATCGACCCGGAGTACTCTGTAAACGTCTAATGGTACTGATACAAACAGCATAACATTATATCGACCCGGAGTACTCTGTAAATGTCTAATGGTACTGATACAAACAACATAACATTATATCGACCCGGAGTACTCTGTAAATGTCTAATGGTACTGATACAAACAACATGATACAAACAACATTACATTATAACTTACCTGACTATTCTATAAACGTCTAATTGTACTGATAAAAACAACATTACATTATAGCTTCCCTGGTTACTCTGTTAACGTCTAATTGTACTGATACAAACAATATTACATTATAGCTTCCCTGGTTACTCTGTAAACGTCTAATTGTACTGATACAAATAACATTACATTATACCGACCCTGACTACTCTGTAAACTTCTAATTGTACCGATACAAACAACTACATTATAGCTTCTCTAGTTACTCTGTAAACGTCTAATGGTACTGATACAAACAGCATAACATTATAACGCCCCTGACTACTCTGTAAACGTCTAATGGTACATATACAAACAACATTACATTATAGCGACACTGATTATTCTATAAACGTCTAATTGTACTGATACAAATAACATTACATTATAACGACCCTGACTACTCTGTAAACTTCTAATTGTACTGATACAAACAACTACATTATAGCTTCCCTGGTTACTCTGTAAACGACTAATTGTACTGATACAAACAACATAACATTATAACGACCCTGGCGACTCTGTAAACGTCTAAATGTACTGATACAAACAACATTACATTATAACTTACCTGACTATTCTATAAACGTCTAATTGTACTGATACAAACAACAGTACATTATAGCGACCCTGACTACTCTGTAAACGGCTAATTGTACTGATACAAACAACATTACATTATAACTTACCTGACTATTCTATAAACGTCTAATTTTACTGATACAAACAACATTACATTATAGCTTCCCTAGTTACTTTGTAAACGTCTAATTGTACTGATACAAACAATATTACATTATAGCTTCCCTGGTTACTCTGTAAACGACTAATTGTACTGATACAAACAACATAACATTATAAAGACCCTGACTACTCTGTAAACGTCTAAATGTACTGATACAAACAACATTACATTATTACTTCCCTGACTACTCTGTAAACGTCTAAATGTACTGATGCAAACAACATTACATTATTACTTCCCTGACTACTCTGTAAACGTCTACATGTACTGATACAAACAACATTACATTATAACGACCCCGACTACTCTGTAAACGTCTAATGGTACAGATACAAACAACATAACATTATATCGACCCTGACTACTCTGTAAACGTCTAATGGTACTGATACAAACAACATTTCATTATAACGACCCTGGCTACTCTGTAAACGTCTAAATGTACTGATACAAACAACATTACATTATTACTTCCCTGACTACTCTGTAAACGTCTAAATGTACTGATGCAAACAACATTACATTATTACTTCCCTGACTACTCTGTAAACGTCTACATGTACTGATACAAACAACATTACATTATAACGACCCTGACTACTCTGTAAACTTCTAATTGTACTGATACAAACCTGGCTACTCTGTTAACGTCTAATTGTACTGATACAAACAACGTTACATTATAACGATCCTGACTACTCTGTAAACGTCTAATTGTACTGATACAAACAACGTACTGATACAAACAACATTACATTATAACGACCCCGACTACTCTGTAAACGTCTAATGGTACAGATACAAACAACATAACATTATATCGACCCTGACTACTCTGTAAACGTCTAATGGTACTGATACAAACAACAAACATTACATTATAACGACCCTGACTACTCAGTAAACGTCTAATTGTACTGATACAAACAACGTACTGATACAAACAACATTACATTATAACGACCCCGACTACTCTGTAAACGTCTAATGGTACAGATACAAACAACATAACATTATATCGACCCTGACTACTCTGTAAACGTCTAATGGTACTGATACAAACAACAAACATTACATTATAACGACCCTGACTACTCTGTAAACTTCTAATTGTACTGATACAAACCTGGCTACTCTGTTAACGTCTAATTGTACTGATACAAACAACATTACTTTATATCGACCCTGGCTGCTCTGTTAACGTCTAATTGTACTGATACAAACAACGTTACATTATAACGATCCTGACTACTCTGTAAACGTCTAATTGTACTGATACATACAACATAACATTATAACGACCCTGACTACTCTGTAAACTTCTAATTGTACTGATACAAACCTGGCTACTCTGTTAACGTCTAATTGTACTGATACAAACAATATTACATTATAGCTTCCCTGGTCACTCTGTAAACGTCTAATTGTACTGATACAAACAATATTACATTATAGCTTCCCTGGTCACTCTGTAAACGTCTAATTGTACTGATACAAACAACGTACTGATACAAACAACATTACATTATAACGACCCTGACTACTCTGTAAACGTCCAATTGTACTGATACAAACAACATTACATTATTACTTCCCTGACTACTCTGTAAACGTCTACATGTACTGATACAAACAACATTACATTATAACTTACCTGACTATTCTATAAACGTCTAATTTTACTGATACAAACAACATTACATTATAGCTTCCCTAGTTACTTTGTAAACGTCTAATTGTACTGATACAAACAACCTCACATTATAACGACCCTGACTACTCTGTAAACTTCTAATTGTACTGATACAAACCTGGCTACTCTGTTAACGTCTAATTGTACTGATACAAACAATATTACATTATAGCTTCCCTGGTCACTCTGTAAACGTCTAATTGTACTGATACAAACAATATTACATTATAGCTTCCCTGGTCACTCTGTAAACGTCTAATTGTACTGATACAAACAATATTACATTATAGCTTCCCTGGTTACTCTGTAAACGACTAATTGTACTGATACAAACAACATAACATTATAACTACCCTGACTACTCTGTAAACGTCTAAATGTACTGATACAAACAACATTACATTATAACGACCCTGGTTACTCTGTAAACGTCTAATTGTACTGATACAAACAACATAACATTATAACGACCCTGACTACTCTGTAAACGTCTAAATGTACTGATACAAACAACATTACATTATTACTTCCCTGACTACTCTGTAAACGTCTAAATGTACTGATACAAACAACATTACATTATAACTTCCCTGACTACTCTCATCATGTATCTCACATACTTTACGGAGTGTCATCCTTGATTGCAGACGTCTTTATCATAACGTAGATAGTGCTTGACCAGTTTTTTTCCTGGATATGCTTGGCGATATGATGTGGACTCAACAAGTTTCGTTCTTAGTATTGAGTATAATTTTACGCTTAGTGTCACCTCCTTGATTATTCTGGAGTTTGGATATGGCAAATTCAATAAAGTGCAGAGCTTGAGGTTAAATTGATCATTTCACTAATTCTATTAAACTATTTTTATCATGTAGCAAATTTAATTTAATTATCAAATGAGTTTTTAGTTCGATTAAGAGTTTGTATCGTGGCTGCTTGTTGAATAGAATAACCACCCTCATAAGAGAGACAATTACGTTTAATAGTGATGACGTCACGAGTGGGTCATAACATTCCCTCTGGAATTGGAATGGTTGTATAATTGAAATAAAGTGGTAATTAAAGTTTTCTATTAAAGCAAAACGGTTCAATTGTTCGGTTGTTCTCTCGTGGCATAAGATTTAAATGCCAGAAGTGTGAAAAGTTTGACAGTCTGAAAGAAAAACAGTTCTAACATAAATATTCTATAAAGCTGAAGCATTGCTTCAATTTAAATGAAATTAAGTTTTTTTGTTTGAAGGTTTGTTGTATTGAATGGTTTTCTCATTTTTACATTACTTTACTTGAAAAAAATGATTAACTATATTCACGAGATACTTGAAAGTCTACCATGTAAGCAGGATTTGATCTAATGATATATCAGAGACATTTCGATGTATAGAGTTCATACTTGTTTTCTTTAGCGGGATGCGTTAGTATAAATAATTTACCAATAAATGACGACCTTATCCTAGGTTGAAGGGCTGTTGAAGCTATTTAAAAGGATACAATGTAGCATTTGCTAATATTTAAGGCCCCGGGGGTCAAATCTGTTTTAACTTAACGACTCTTCTCTTCTGAATAACAATAAAAGGCTACGGTGTTTATAGAAGCATATATGGATGCAGGTCTAATAGATATTATCTTTTTCTAAAGAGCAATCTTCCAAGTCACAGGGTCACATTTGTAAACACTTTTAAAAGTGCTAGTTCCTCTCTATTACCAAAAATGTTTAGGTGATGATATTCGGCTTTAAGCTAAGGGATCGGAATAAAAAAAAAAAACTTGAAGGTTATAAAAATATAAAAGAAAGTTGTATTCCAACAATTTTCCTATGGCGAAAAGTAAAAAAAAAAAGACAATTTGCAAATACACGTTGGGTGGTCGGGTGGTGCAGTGGATAGCACACTTGCTTTCAACACAGTGGCCGGGGTTTTCGATTCCGCTATCGGACATGGAAAGTTATGGGGTAACCAGCCCGACCACGGGGGTTCTATCCTGGTATTCCGGTTTCCTCCCACATTTACCGCCGTGCTTACATCCGGTCCAACAAGAGTGATTAGTATGAGTTGTAATAACTTGTTTCGTTATTGTTGTATAAAAAATAAATGATGACAAGTGAGCAATACAAGCCTATCTGTCCTTTGGTTTTGTTTTAAGCGTTAATTTAACCTCGTATTATTCGTATGTTCTTAATAACTCAAACAACTGCAGTGCAATGTTTTTTTCGTGTATAAAGGTATTAACGTTTCGTATTTTCTTCTTCAGTTTTATACACGGCTCAAATTGTTTAACATATGATGCCCTCAAATAGCCTAGGTTTAACTGATTTCGAGGTAGATTTTAATTTTACTGATAATCGGGGCTGTACGTTGAAGACTTGTTTAGACCGTTATTTTTACAGAGTGTGTGGATGGTACATTTGGCGACAACTGTGGAAGTAAGTGTGGCCATTGCATAAATGGATCAACAACGTGTCACCACATTGATGGATCATGCAGATCTGGCTGTTCGCCTGGATACAAGGTCGATACGTGTATTGAAGGTATTGGAATATAAGACATGCTCAACATATCTTTACGCTTTAATCTTTAATTTGCGTCTGTTTCATTATGGAACGTTTGAATCATCATTATAGTTGATTGATATGATAAATGTAATATAATATATCAGATAAATTATTTCCTAGATTAAATGAAGACATTTAGAATAATTATTCCGACCGAGCTAAAGAAACCAGTGAGGATTCCGAAAATAAAATGGAGAAATAAGTATTCGTTTATAATCACGTTCCGCTTTTCATTTTGCTCGCTCGCCCAGAAATAATAAAATGTTTTTGCTTTACCAAATGTCAATACTTTAGAATTGACTAGTTTGTATGAGGAAAATAAATACCCCTACAGTAATGAGTGATAACTTTTCACGTTACAATATTTTCCCATTGTTTTCTAAGGTGATTTGATATTTTTTCATCTTTACGTTTTCCTGACTTCATTATTTTTATTCCATCCGTTTCTTAGAAATTCTACCATTATCAGTTAATTGGCCAAAGCAATTTTACAGCAAATTTGAACATTATGTCTAAATCAACCTCGGACAAAAAATGAAATGATGAAAATTTATTGTAAAGACCGTGAATAAAATGTAACAAAGAATTTAAACGGAAAACAATGTACCGTGAAATACCTCAGTGTATTCAAGTACACATATTTAAGATTAATGAAAAACATACTTGACTAATTCCTTGTAGACATTGTTGCACTATTTTATATAATGATAATGTATTTTTACGAATAATTTTGATTTATAAAGATTGACACGTATAAATAACTTTGCTTTTAGTTTGTGATCCAGGGAAATATGGCTCGCAATGTAGCAGTATTTGTGGACGCTGTTCCAACGGGGCACCATGTCACCATATCAATGGCACGTGTTTGACCGGGTGTGCTGCCGGTAAACAGGGCAACACATGTGATACAGGTACGTCATTTAAGATCGACTAGACTTACGGTAAATGGATTTGTTTATTACATGTTTACATGTATAACATTGAAATATGATTTCAAAGTTATAGTTGTGTCGTCGTACATAGCGCGCACATCGTACATATAGCATGCACATATTGGCACTTATTACCCGCACAATCGTGCAATTCAACGTTCGTTCGCCTCATTGTGCGCTTATGTCCACACAAATGTGCAATTTTTACGGGACCGTGCCGTATTTACACGTGTTGATTTAAGTCTTAAACGAATAAACATGAAAACGCAATTGTCTTACTAATTTTTTTTTATATAGATAAGGCCTCAGTCACACATTCAGGATTTTTACTGCCGACCTTGATTGGACCATTCCCTGAAACTTGTCAAAATTCTGATCAAGATCCTGTGATTCGTGGCGGGAAATTCACAAATTTGTAAAAACATTTGTTTAAAATAATAATAATAATTCGACGTTCACTTTATCGTAGTTCGTAGGTCGTCTCAAAGCGGTTCACAAATTATTATCCGTGGTTATAGGGCCTTTGCAACCAGCCAATATCTTTCTCAACTCCATTGGGAGCATACAGCCGGAGCTGCCATTTCGATTTACAGCTACAGAGTAGACTGGAACAAGCGGGGTAAAGTATCTGGCTCGAAAATACAACACTGTGCCGTGCCGTGACTCGAACAAGCAACCCTTCAGTCACAAGCCCGGCGTCCTACAACTAGACTACCGTGCATCCTAAATTTTTAATCACGACAACAATCAGATATTGTTCAAGAAGCGTCCCGATCCATCCGTTTTCAGCCGAATTCTTCCCGATTCTCCCATTCTCAATCCGAATCTGATCCGATTTGTATCTTCCGACTTGTAAAAACTAACTGAATCTGTCCCGACAGCGACCCCATTCTCCCGAATGCGATCCGACAGAGATCAGACAGTGACCGGACAGTGAACCGACATTGTCGGCAAGATCAGGACGCAATTTGGACTCAATCCGCAAGTAACGGCAAAGAACATCACGACAGCGTCCCGATCCACAGGACACCGTCTAGACACCGTCCAGACAACACAGGATATTGTTACGATTTTATCCGACACATCAGAATCTGTCACGACATAGTCACGATTGTAATCCGACTAGAAAAATCGGCCGAGTTTCCCGAATATTACGGGACGCACCTACCTGTCCGAAGTGCTTGGCCGACCTCTCTGGACCTCTCCCGATCCGTAGGACTCTGTTAGGAACGTATACGACTGCGTTCAGACAATGATAGGACATTCCAGAACAATGAGGATAGTAATCCATTCTTTTTCACTTTTCGTGTCGTAGCGCTGTCTGATCTCAAACGGGAGCCATGATTGCCATCACACAACGTTAGTTTTAATCCCCAGTATTTCAGCGTACATCCATCGTTCACACATCGGTCATACACGGAACATCGTATGACGTTGTGCGATCCCACATACATATATATAGATGTACTATCTAAATATTCAAAATCACATTATACCAATGTATTAATTAGGGGCATATTCTGTCTATATTTAATAACATAATTTTAAAACAAAGTTCAAAACATTTTACTCACTTAGATTCTGAAATATTTTTTATCTGCTCTAACATCATACGTCTTAACATTCCTGTTATTATGTCTACACAGATTGTACCCCTGGTATGTATGGTCCGAACTGTGAAAACACGTGTGGTGACTGTAAGGGAGGTCCACGTACGTGTAATATTACCGACGGGTCGTGTCCTGGCGGATGTGCAGCGGGATGGCAGGGAACACTTTGTGAAACTGGTAATTCTGAATCTATGTATATGATTTATGAAAATAAATAATGCAACGCCACTTTAAATGAATTACACAAGGAATATACCTGAATTTGATTTCACAATTGATGTGAATGCTTCACATAATCGATTCCAATGTTTCAATATCATGCAAAATCAGTTTGCTATTCGTGTTTTAGATAGTATTTACTTGATTTGATTGATTATGATTTTAACTCCAATGTGAACTTTCGTTATAATTCCAGCGTGTGAAGAAGGACGCTATGGAGTTAAATGTGCTGAGCAGTGTGGAAAATGTCGTGATGGACAGACCTGTAACCGGTTTAACGGAACATGTGAGAACGGCTGTAGTCCTGGCTGGAAAGAATCCGACTGTAAACAGAGTAAGCAACCTTTTCTAAGAAACTATATACCTCATATAGTTTACGGCCAACGCAAGCACACGGCTCTCCCTATTATAACGACTGAAAACTAAACCCAAACGATAAATATGTGAAATGCTGTCTATTCTAGCTGTAAATTAAAGGCTTTGCTGTAATGCTTACACATTAGATTATTAGCATCATACATGTACTTTGAAAATTCATATTTGAACATAAATGCAAACATGTCAAACAATGTTTCTTGGTATTCATTGACATTTCCAAAAATGATAATATTACGGGCTATATCAGTGTTTTCCCCAAGGCAAAACCGTACAAGTATTGGTAAATCCTTATTACAGATTGTTCTTTTGGATGGTACGGGGACGCCTGTCGGGAGGAGTGTGGTAGCTGTGCAGGAGGCAAAAATTGTGATCATGTCGACGGACGATGCCCCAAAGATGGACAAACTTATCGGTGTGATCCTGGATTGAAAGGGGAAACGTGCAAAATTGGTAAGAGGTATTATAAGATAAAAAGGTCAAAACTGGCTTAGTATAGGTATTCACAAATATGGTGTATAGAACTTTGATTATTACTTGTCATATGGTACATTTATTTCATGCTAGTGAGAACGTATATGATATGTAGGTTTGAGTGTTCGAACTCTGCAGCCGCGGGTAGCATGGTAATTTCCCCATACTTCTACATACAATACATCATGATTGGTTTTCTCCTGTGTCCATCTCCAACCTGAAATGTATGTAAACGTGACACAAATGTTGCAAATGCAGTGACAAATTTAGTAGATTTTAAAGAAGATATACAAGATAACAAAGGCCGTTTTGTATTTGTTTTCACACGTTTTCATACAATTATATATTTATCAAAGAGCTTATTCCGTCTTTGCGTATTGCAGAGTTATCTTCTCTTGGGAGCAGGTATTGATTGTTTCGTCATTGGTTTGTGCGAGAAAATTACGTCGTTTTCTCAAAAATAGATGACGTTACTCCCAAAAACAAGTGACGTAACAATCAATACCTGCTCCCAAGAGAAGATAACTCTGCAATACGCAAAGACGGAATAAGGCAAGGATCAAAGGCCTTGTCATGTCGTTTAACTTTACCTTCAAATAGCACCGAGTTCATCTTTCAACTCGATCGTATAAACTCTTCTGAAATGAATTTGAAATCAAGGACACTTCTAAATTAGCCTTTTATCTCGATGATATTATAAATCATGAGCAAATAAGGACGGCTAACCACTTAATTGATAATATCCCTGTGTCCTCCACATACAGTGTTTGTTTTCATTGCATAGTTATCTCGATATAAACGGGCTTATACCGAATATCACGATTCCTCTAATGGATGTCGAATGCTACCGACAAACAGTGTTTTGAAAGATACTGGTTGATGAAGACTGTGTGCAATTTTTACGGACGACATCAAGATATTATTTGGGAATATTTTATCGTTTAGTCCGATAAAAAATTGACGTTTTTAATTATGATATTTCGTTGATGTGACCTAGATTAACAGATGTCTTTGTTTAGGATGTCGTTGTTGAAATGCTTACTTCACCAGAAATGTCGGTCGGGATTTTCTTCGTCTTAATGACGTCACGTATACCATTCTATGTCAGTTTTCAGTATGTCGGACAACAACATGCTGTTTGCTTTCATGCGATTCATAGTCGTGTTTCATAAACAAGTAGTTCTGGTATTGGGTTCATACATGCGTGAGTAATCTCACATAGGTGTTCCACATGAAACGTGTGTATCATTTATACGTAGAATTGGGACAAATGTTTTTGTTTTAATATACCTGTCTGGCATGATTTTCTTGATCTATCATCAAGTTTGCTTGACTAAATCAGCGTTTTCATCGTTGCAACTCTAATATGACATTTCATGACGACTCTTGTCAAGAGATACATATTTCAATGGATATGACTAAGTATTGCAATGGAAACAGCAAATGAAGTTTCGCCCCATAAACAAATGGTGACCCCTAATTAATTTGAGGGGACCACATTAGAACACTAACCGCCATCTGGCCAATACTTCTCCGTTTAAGTTTCCTATCTTAAAAACGGTATTTTATTTTTGTCAAGTTTGCAGCATACAACTGAGGCGTTTTATAGATTAAATGTTTATTATTTCCTCAGTTTGTAGTAGCACTGAATATGGACCTGACTGTAGGCAGGTATGCGGACAGTGTTCTAACTCCTCGTGCGAATCTGTGTCCGGTAACTGTACTGAGGGATGTACCGAGGGATGGTCCGGTGTCTTGTGTACAGAGAAGCTTAATCGTAAGTTATAACGTCGCTGCTATACTGGAGCTTGAAGGAGCAATGCATCGCAGGGCTTAAGCAGACCCCTTTAGGGTGGACACACGTACTATTTTTGAGCATTTCGATGTACATAGATATGTTATTTTTGTTTGTTTATAATCATGAGCATTGACGTTGTAGTGGTATTGATTTTTACAGGACCCGTTGTCCTTTTCTTGAATACTTCTTGCAACTTCGACACACACGCACTCATTACTACTTGTTCCCTTTGTCCCTTCTTTAATATCCATTCCTGCTGTATATCTCTCTGCTCCTAATTAACATATTTTCCCATAGAAAAGCAGCTATATACATGTAACTGTAATTTAAACAAATAAATACAAGGCATTTATTGGGTACAAGATAATATATACTTTAGTCTAAGGACATCGTCATTCATCAAGACAGATATTCTGGTACCTTTACTTGATAAAATGTATATCGTATTGAAATGATTAGTTAACTATCAAAAGCCGCATTAATTTATTAGCTCACCGGGTCCGAAGGACCAATGTGATCTTATGGCATACCGTGGCGTCCGTCCGTCGTCCGTTTGTCCGTCTTCCGTCATCCGTACGTCAACAATTTCTTCAAACGACTTCTTTTCTTCTTCTTAACCACGGATTGGAATTTTGCTAAATTTTAATGGAAGCATTACTATGTGATGGGGATTCAAAGGTTTACAAATGGTTGGGCGGACTCCCCAGGGGGCTGAAGGGGCGGGGCCAAAAAGGGGGCAAAATGGCTTTATTGCTATAAACGACTTCTTCTCTGATACTTAGAAATGGATATGAACCATATTTCGATGGAAGCATCCCTAGGTGATGAGATTTGAAAATTGTACAAATGGTGGGGTTGACACCCCAGGGCCTGAGGTGCGGGGCCAAAAAAGGTAATTTAGCTATTTTGCTTTAGGCGACTTCTCCGGAACTGCAATCCGCAATGGATATCAACTATATTTTGTTGGTAGCATACATAGGTGGTGGGTATTATCAAGTGTATAAATGGACAGACTGACCCTCCCCGCTAAGGGATGGGATCTGAATACTTTATTACATGGAAATGGTTAAGATTCCCACCCTTTAACCATATACACAATTGCTGAGTATAAAGAAATGAATGCAGTCATGATGGTAGAATTGAGCCCGGGGTCTACCTCACCCTTGCAGACTTAACCCCTGGGTCATAACTTTGAAATCATTGAGATCGATCTCCACCCCAAAACTAAATATGCAATTACGGGGCATAAAGAGACGAACACAATCATGATATTAGCATTGACCCTTGGGTCTGGCCACAACCATAGGAACCTTGTTTCTGAGTCACAACTTGGAAACAGTTGAGATCCCCACCCTATAACCATATACACAATTGCTGAATATAAAGAGACGAATGCACATATGCTTTCAGGATGGCCCCGGGTCTTAACCCTATATGCAACTATATATACAATTACTGGGCATAAAGAAACGATGCTATAAATGACCGGGGTCTGTCACACCCTTGCAGACTTAACCCCGGGGTCATAAGTTTGAAACGTTTTAGATCCCCGCCCTACAACTATAAATATACAATTGTTGGGCATAAAGAAACGAATGCAGTTATGATATTAGAATTGACCCTGGGGTCTGGCCATAACCCTAGGGACCTAGTTTCTGAGTCACAACTTGTAAACAGTTGAGATCCCTACCCCTTAACCATACATACAATTGTTGACATGAACAATCTATACGGATATGCTACAATGATTGGCCTTGGGATCTGGTCCTATCCCTATGATCTTATTTGGAGAATATTTTCCCATGATTGCTTCGATATCCAGGTGAGCGATACAGGCCCTCTGGGCCTCTTGTTTATCATTGGTTCAGATTTCTTTTCTCCTGAGACGCGGGTGTTCTCTATATCTACTGCTGTGATAAGTGAACAGCATTATACAAGTCTGTATTGATTAAGAAACAACATATTTTAGAACATATAAGAATATTAAAAAGTAAATAAACGATTTTGAAGTTGATTTATCTTGGCTTAACTTGCAGCTCCCGACCCGCCGTTCGCACCTCCTGGAGGTCTCGTTGGTGGTATTGCGGGGACAGTTGTAGCAATAATATTCCTTGTAATCGTTGTGGTTGTAGTAATAAACAGAAGGTAATAATCCTTCTTAATTTTACAAAATATTTTGTGATAATTTTGCAAATAATTTTCAAAGTCTTTGTCGTGAAGAAAAGGTAACCATTTTCCTCTTTTCTTTTCTTGTCATTCTAAGTGTTTCTTCCTTCATTCGTTAATAGTGATAATTCTCTTGATATTCTGTTCATAAGAGAGATAATTTGTAAATTATTTGATCGTCAAGACAATTAATCGATCTTTATTATTCAAAGATCAATATGTAATCAATTTAAGCTTGTCCGTTTGTATCCTTAAAGAAACCAAAAGCCGTTATCCACTCCAGAACAACCGACCAGTGATCGAGAGAACGGTAAGAATATATGACAGTTCGATATTGTTTTACTTATCAGTATTGCACTTTCATATTTTTTGCTTTTGCTAAGATAGATTTGCGGTTTACTAGATCGACCCTTTGTTTTGACTAGGAATAAATACAGAAATCAATACGTCTTCACGGGTTAGATGAAACTTCGCCATTTTTTTTTATTTTTATTATTGATCAATCTATAGAGCCAATATCACCATTGTATATCTATCCCACGTAACACTGACTCGCGTGTTGAAAATCTCGACAAGCACATGCACTGCCAATAATGATTAGTTGGTCAATCGGTTGGAATGTCGTGAATCCGGGCATTCGTGATTCAATTTACAAAAGATTTTGCAAATACTTGGATCGTATATATAAGGAATGGCAAGTTTTAAGAAAATAGGATTTACAATTATCGTTAGGATTGTGTTCACCAGGTAGCATTACCCCGCATAAAAATACCAATTGCAAAATATATGTGTTTTACTGTCAGCTAGACAGCCTAGTCTCCCCACCGATTGAGACTGTTTGAACTCGGTGTAATCCGAAACTATGAATACAGAAACCTTTCACCAAATTCTAAATTTCGTTGAAAATCTAACCTGACATACTTCATCAGCTATGAATGTTAAATTGGTACGATCACAGTTATGTTCGTTTGACTGCGTTAACAACATGTATCTTTTGAACCAGGTGTCCTATATGAAAACATGGCAGCAAACACACACGTGACTGATACAGCTAACAATACAGATCACATGATGTACGAAAACGTTGGCAATATCAGTCGGAATGACGAACATCAGAGCGGACTACTGACGGAAAACCTACTCCAAGAAATCATTAGAAAAGAAGAATGTAATGAGTTTGAAATGGACTTCAAGGCAAGTTTATACAACTCAGAGATATATCGAATGAACTGTAATATAACAATTTTATACAATATTCACGATAACTCGATGTTTCGAATAATACCGTTTCATGTTTCGAACCTTATTTTCTACTTAATGCATTTAATCATTCGCACAAACTGTCTAAGAACATGGCCTCTTGCATTCTTTACTGTAACAAATTGTATATTTTATAGTGTATCTCTGTTATGACTGTCTAGGAATGCATAACATTGAAGAAGAAATAACAGTTAAAGAACTTAATTCACTTGCATTAATGGGTGATGGAATAATTGTCATCGTTTTTATTGTCGGATTACTTTCTATTTTAGGGATTTCTGACTGGTAACCAGTTTCCGTGTGAAGAAGCCACCAAAGCGAACAACAAAAGCAGGAATAGATACAAGACTACATTCCCATGTATGTTATACCAGTACCAAACATAAAACATTGCATGCCAAGGTAATGAGTACATGCGCTCTCTTTTGCATCTCCAACGAAGAAGAGTTTCAATATACTAGTCACTATTCTGACATGGTGTTGTTGTCAATTTCCTATTCCGTCTTTTCGTATTGCAGAGTTATCGGCTCTTGTGAGCAGGGATTGATTGTTACGTCATTTGTTTGTGAGAGTAACGTCATGAATTTTTGAGAAAACGACGTAATTTTCTCAAACAAACCAATGACGTAACAATCAATACCTGCTTACAAGAGAAGATAACTCTGCAATACGCAAAGACGGAATAACAATGATTGAAATTATAATTCCATTCAGACATCTACGTACTTCAAGATTTATAACTTCGGGCTATATCCACAGTCATCTGGTCATACTGGTATTTGTATGTAACAATCATTCATTCATAATATATATGATATAATATGTATAGTATCTTTTCATGATTATAAAGAAAATTACATAAATATATCAGGATAATAACTATTCAATACCTGTGGTTGGTATACAGTCTAAAAATGGCTAAAACATATAAGCCTTTCTGTGATGGAAAGCAATTATTTAATTAATTTGCATAGTCCAAGCACCCGTACCACCATGGATGCAAACAAAGATAAAATATTATATCATATTCAAAATCTATAAAACTAAGTCAAAATGTAAACACAACATAATGTTCGTGGAGATCATTGCAAAAAACACTAGGAGGATAAAGAGTAAGTGTTGCAAGAATGGGTGTCTTCTGATTCTAGGTCAAAACCAAAAAATATAACGTACATACAGCAAGAACTGGGTAAGTGACATCAAAACAGTAATATACACTGATAAGCATAATCGACCTCCATTTTACACACCGAAATAACATATTTCCAATTGAGACCCTAAAACTTATCATAATCTTCATCGACCTGCATTGTTGGCAACCTCGTGTTGTAAGTTTGTTGGTCAGCAACCTCGTGTTGTAAGTTTGTTGGTCAGCAACCTCGTGTTATACATGTGTTGGTCAGCAACCTCGTGTTGTTAGTTTGTTGGTCAGCAACCTCCTGTTGTAAGTTTGTTGGTCAGCAACCTCGTGTTGTACGTATGTTGGTCAGCAACCTCGTGTTATACGTATGTTGGGCAGCAACCTCGTGTTGTAAGATTGTTTGTCAGCAACCTCGTGTTGTAAGTTTGTTGGTCAGCAGCCTCGTGTTATACATGTGTTGGTCAGCACCCTCGTGTTGTTAGTTTGTTGGTCAGCAACCTCATGTTGTAAGTTTGTTGGTCAGCAACCTCGCGTTATACATGTGTTGGTCAGCAACCTCGTGTTGTTAGTTTGTTGGTCAGCCACCTCATGTTGTACGTTTGTTGGTCAGCAACCTCGTGTTGTAAGGTTGTTGGTCAGCAACCTCGTGTTATACTTTTGTTGGTCAGCAACCTCGTGTTGTAAGTGTGTTGGTCAGCAACCTCGTGTTGTACGTATGTTGGTCAGCAACCTCGTGTTATACGTATGTTGGTAAGCAACCTCGTGTTATACGTTTGTTGGCCAGCATCCTCGTGTTATACGTTTGTTGGTCAGCATCCTCGTGTTATACGTTTGTTGGTCAGCGACCTCGTGTTGTAAGTTTGTTGGTCAGCAGCCTCGTGTTATACATGTGTTGGTCAGCAACCTCGCGTTGTTAGTTTGTTGGTCAGCAACCTCCTGTTGTAAGTTTGTTGGTCAGCAACCTCGTGTTATTCGTGTGTTGGTCAGCAACCTCGTGTTGTAAGTGTGTTGGTCAGCAACCTCGTGTTGTAAGGTTGTTGGTCAGCAACCTCGTGTTATACGTATGTTGGTCAGCACCCTCGTGTTGTAAGTTTTTTGGGCGGCAAACTCGTGTTGTAAATTTGTTGGGCAACAACCTCGTGTTGTAAGGTTGTTGGTCAGCAACCTCGTGTTATACATGTGTTGGTCAGCACCCTCGTGTTGTTAGTTTGTTGGTCAGCCACCTCATGTTGTACGTTTGTTGGTCAGCAACCTCGTGTTAGACGTATGTTGGTCAGCAACCTCGTGTTATACGTGTGTTGGCCAGCAACCTCGTGTTGTAAGTTTGTTGTGCAGCAACCTCGTGTTGTAAGATTGTTTGTCAGCAACCTCGTGTTGTAAGTTTTTTGGGCGGCAAACTCGTGTTGTAAATTTGTTGGGCAACAACCTTGTGTTGTAAGATTGTTGGTCAGCAACCTCGTGTTGTAAGGTTGTTGGTCAGCAACCTCGTGTTATACTTTTGTTGGTCAGCAACCTCGTGTTGTAAGGTTGTTGGTCAGCAACCTCGTGTTATACGTATGTTTGTAAGCAACCTCGTGTTATACGTTTGTTGTTCAGCAACCTCGTGTTATAAGTTTGTTGGTCAGCAACCTCGTGTTTTACGTGTGTTGGTCAGCAACCTCGTGTTGTACGTTTGTTGGTCAGCAACCTCGTGTTAGACGTATGTTGGTCAGCAACCTCGTGTTATACGTGTGTTGGCCAGCAACCTCGTGTTGTAAGTTTGTTGGTCAGCAGCCTCGTGTTATACGTTTGTTGGGCAGCAACCTCGGGTTATACGTATGTTGGTCAGCAACCTCGTGTTGTAAGTTTGTTGGTCAGCAACCTCGTGTTATACGTATGTTGGTCAGCAACCTCGTGTTGTAAGTTTTTTGGGCGGCAACCTCGTGTTGTAAATTTGTTGGGCAACAACCTCGTGTTGTAAGATTGTTGGTCAGCAACCTCGTGTTGTAAGTTTGTTGGGCAGCAACCTCGTGTTGTAAGATTGTTGGTCAGCAACCTCGTGTTGTAAGTTTGTTGGTCAGCAATCTCGTGTTGTAAGATTGTTGGTCAGCAACCTCGTGTTGTAAGTTTTTGGGTAGTAACCTCGTGTTGTAAGTTTGTTGGGCAGCCCCCTCGTGTTGTAAGATTGTTGGACAGCAACCTCGTGTTGTAAGTTTGTTGGTCAGCAGTCGACATGTTTCACTAAAACCATGCATTCGGAAATACTCTTAAATTTCAAATCAAATGCGACATGAAAACACCATGAAACAAATAAACGACATGAAGAAATTAATGTTACGTGTTTGTTGTCGTAAGTGTAAGCGGTTTGTGGTTCATTCAAAGGATCATGTTTAATTTCCCCTTGAAATAACATATATAGATAATCATTTAGCTGAAAGAAAGGACAAGGTAGTTTAACAGGATGAAATTGATATATGAATCGTGGATTAGAAACAGTGTAAATGATAGCACCGATGAAATTTATTTTATTTTTAGACGATCATTCAAGAGTACAGCTAGACGGAGACCAAAGTTACATCAATGCTAACTTTATCAAGGTTAGTGTTTGAAATGAGCTGATGGACGTCATTCAGACGACAAATCAATAAATTCACAACATACTGCCCCAAGATAAAGCTTGTCTTTATATAATGCATCTAATCGTCGTTAAGTACTTATAAGTGTTGAAAAGAAAAAGTAAATTAACGTTTCCGTAATACTTTTGTTGTAAGATATTATTGTCTATACCGCAACATACATCGATGTGTTTCTGTATTTTTGCAACATATTACAAGGATACTCCGTACTTTGAATGTCGACAGGAAGGTATACTGGCTCTTTATTTTTTATATGTAGCCATACAACTTGATGCTTAATTTCTTAATCATATCTTATCGGTTGAGTATATATTATCAAGTATAACTACAAAATGCAGAGAGAATGTATATTTTAAAATAGTAAGTTCAAAACATTTAATGTAAACTATGATCATTTTTCACGAGTTAGATATCTTATGTTAACCAAACAATAAAGAAAAGGTCTACCCGAATAAGGTCATAAAGGTAATTACTGAAAGCAAGCTTGTATAAATAGGTAACGTTATATGCCTATAGAATGGTAGTATGCACTTGAACTTTGCTGGTGCTCCGATTGGTTAAAAGTATTCTCCCATGTACTGTCTATATATTTTAGGATCTTGACGGGACAAACGCGTATGTAGCAACACAAGGTGTGTAGTAAACGTTTACATTGTGTTTTATGTGTACTGCATTGTGTTCTATGTGTATTAATGTCTACATTGTGTTTTATGTGTATTAATGTCTATATTGTGTTCTATGTGTATTAATGTCTATATTGTGTTCTATGTGTACTACGTTGTGTTCTATGTGTATTAATGTCTATATTGTGTTCTATGTGTATTGTGTATTAATGTCTATATTGTGTTCTATGTGTATTAATGTCTATATTGTGTTCTATGTGTACTACGTTGTGTTCTATGTGTATTGTGTATTAATGTCTATATTGTGTTCTATGTGTATTAATGTCTACATTGTGTTCTATGTGTACTGCATTGTGTTCTATGTGTATTAATGTCTATATTGTGTTCTATGTGTATTGTGTATTAATGTCTACATTGTGTTCTATGTGTATTAATGTCTATATTGTGTTCTATGTGTATTATGTATTAATGTCAACATTGTGTTCTATGTGTATTGTGTATCAATGTCTACATTGTGCTCTATGTGTATTAATGTCTATATTGTGTTCTATGTTTATTGTGTATTAATGTCAACATTGTGTTCTATGTGTATTGTGTATTAGTGTCTTCATTGTGTTCTATGTGTATTAATGTCTACATTGTCCCCTATGTGTAATAATGTCTACATTGTGTTCTATGTGTATTCATGTCTACATTGTGTTATATGTGTATTAATGTCTACATTGTGCTCTATGTGTATTAATGTCTACATTGTGTTATATGTGTAATAATGTCTACATTGTGTTCTATGTGTATTAAGGTTTAAATTGTGTTCTATGTGTATTAATGTCTACATTGTGTTATATGTGTATTAATGTCTACATTGTGCTCTATGTGTATTAATGTCTATATTGTGTTATATGTGTACTACATTGTGCTCTATGTGTATTAATGTCTATATTGTGTTCTATGTGTACAACATTGTGTTCTATGTGTATTGTGTATTAATGTCTTCATTGTGTTCTATGTGTATTAATGTCTACATTGTGTTCTATGTGTATTAATGTTTAAATTGTGTTCTATGTGTATTAATGTCTACATTGTGTTTTATGTGTATCAATGTCTACAGTGTGTTATATGTGTAATAATGTCTACATTGTGTTATATGTGTAATAATGTCTACATTGTGTTCTATGTGTATTAATGTCTACATTGTGTTCTATGTGTATTAATGTCTACATTGTGTTCTATGTGTATTAATGTCTACATTGTGTTCTATGTGTATTAATGTCTACATTGTGTTCTATGTGTATTAATGTCTACATTGTGTTCTATGTGTATTAATGTCTACATTGTGTTCTATGTGTATTAATGTCTACATTGTGTTCTATGTGTATTAATGTCTACATTGTGTTCTATGTGTATTAATGTCTACATTGTGTTCTATGTGTATTAATGTCTACATTGTGTTCTATGTGTATTAATGTCTACATTGTGTTCTATGTGTATTAATGTCTACATTGTGTTCTATGTGTATTAATGTCTACATTGTGTTCTATGTGTATTAATGTCTACATTGTGTTCTATGTGTATTAATGTCTACATTGTGTTCTATGTGTATTAATGTCTACATTGTGTTCTATGTGTATTAATGTCTACATTGTGTTCTATGTGTACTACATTGTGTTCTATGTGTATTAATGTCTACATTGTGTTCTATGTGTATTAATGTCTACATTGTGTTCTATGTGTATTAATGTCTACATTGTGTTCTATGTGTATTAATGTCTACATTGTGTTCTATGTGTATTAATGTCTACATTGTGTTCTATGTGTATTAATGTCTACATTGTGTTCTATGTGTATTAATGTCTACATTGTGTTCTATGTGTATTAATGTCTACATTGTGTTCTATGTGTATTAATGTCTACATTGTGTTCTATGTGTATTAATGTCTACATTGTGTTCTATGTGTATTAATGTCTACATTGTGTTCTATGTGTATTAATGTCTACATTGTGTTCTATGTGTATTAATGTCTACATTGTGTTCTATGTGTATTAATGTCTACATTGTGTTCTATGTGTATTAATGTCTACATTGTGTTCTATGTGTATTAATGTCTACATTGTGTTCTATGTGTATTAATGTCTACATTGTGTTCTATGTGTACTACATTGTGTTCTATGTGTATTAATGTCTACATTGTGTTCTATGTGTATTAATGTCTACATTGTGTTCTATGTGTATTAATGTCTACATTGTGTTCTATGTGTATTAATGTCTACATTGTGTTCTATGTGTATTAATGTCTACATTGTGTTCTATGTGTATTAATGTCTACATTGTGTTCTATGTGTATTAATGTCTACATTGTGTTCTATGTGTATTAATGTCTACATTGTGTTCTATGTGTATTAATGTCTACATTGTGTTCTATGTGTATTAATGTCTACATTGTGTTCTATGTGTATTAATGTCTACATTGTGTTCTATGTGTATTAATGTCTACATTGTGTTCTATGTGTATTAATGTCTACATTGTGTTCTATGTGTATTAATGTCTACATTGTGTTCTATGTGTATTAATGTCTACATTGTGTTCTATGTGTATTAATGTCTACATTGTGTTCTATGTGTATTAATGTCTACATTGTGTTCTATGTGTACTACATTGTGTTCTATGTGTATTAATGTCTACATTGTGTTCTATGTGTATTAATGTCTACATTGTGTTCTATGTGTATTAATGTCTACATTGTGTTCTATGTGTATTAATGTCTACATTGTGTTCTATGTGTATTAATGTCTACATTGTGTTATATGTGTAATAATGTCTACATTGTGTTCTATGTGTATTAATGTCTACATTGTGTTCTATGTGTATTAATGTCTACATTGTGTTCTATGTGTATTAATGTCTACATTGTGTTCTATGTGTATTAATGTCTACATTGTGTTCTATGTGTATTAATGTCTACATTGTGTTCTATGTGTATTAATGTCTACATTGTGTTCTATGTGTATTAATGTCTACATTGTGTTCTATGTGTATTAATGTCTACATTGTGTTCTATGTGTATTAATGTCTACATTGTGTTCTATGTGTATTAATGTCTACATTGTGTTCTATGTGTATTAATGTCTACATTGTGTTATATGTGTATCAATGTCTACATTGTGTTCTATGTGTATTAATGTCTTCATTGTGTTATATGTGTATTAATGTCTACAGTGTGTTCTATGTGTACTACATTGTGTTCTATGTGTACTACTTTGTGTTCTATGTGTATTAATGTCTACAGTGTGTTCTATGTGTATCAATGTCTACATTGTGTTCTATGTGTATCAATGTCTACATTGTGTTCTATGTGTATTAATGTCTACAGTGTGTTCTGTGTGTATTAATGTTTAAATTGTGTAATATGTGTATTAATGTCTACAGTGTGTTCTATGTGTATCAATGTCTACATTGTGTTCATGTGTATTAATGTCTACATTGTGTTCTATGTGTATTAATGTCTATATTGTAATGTTTAAATTGTGTAATATGTGTATTAATGTCTACTTAATGTCTACATTGTGTTCTATGTGTATTAATGTCTTCATTGTGTTATATGTGTATTAAGGTTTATATTGTGTTCTATGTGTATTAATGTCTACAGTGTGTTCTATCTGTATTAATGTTTAAATTGTGTAATATGTGTATTAATGTCTACAGTCTGTTTTATGTGTATCAATGTCTACATTGTGTTCTATGTCTATTAATGTCTACATTGTGTTCTATGTGTATTAAGGTTTATATTGTGTTCTATGTGTATTAATGTCTACATTGTGTTATATGTGTATTAATGTCTTCATTGTGTTATATGTGTATTAAGGTTTATATTGTGTTCTATGTGTACTACATTGTGTTCTATGTGTATCAATGTCTACATTGTGTTATATGTGTATTAATGTCTCCATTGTGTTATATGTGTATTAATGTCTTCATTGTGTTATATGTGTACTACATTGTGTTCTATGTGCATTAATGTCTACATTGTGTTATATGTGTAATAATGTCTACATTGTGTTATATGTGTATCAATGTCTACATTGTGTTCTATGTCTATTAATGTCTACATTGTGTTCTATGTGTATTAATGGCTACATTGTGGTATATGTGTATTAATGTCTACATTGTGTTATATGTGTAATAATGTCTACATTGTGTTATATGTGTATCAATGTCTACATTGTGTTCTATGTCTATTAATGTCTACATTGTGTTCTATGTGTATTAATGGCTACATTGTGGTATATGTGTATTAATGTCTACATTGTGTTATATGTGTACTACATTGTGTTCTATGTGTATTAATGTCTATATTGTGTTCTATGTGTACAACATTGTGTTGTATGTGTATTGTGTATCAATGTTTGCATTGTGCTCTATGTGTATTAATGTCTACAGTGTGTTTTATGTGTATCAATGTCTACATTGTGTTCTATGTCTATTAATGTCTACATTGTGTTCTATGTGTATTAATGTCTTCATTGTGTGCTATGTGTATTATATTGTGTTCTATGTGTATTAATGTCTACATTGTGTTATATGTGTACTACATTGTGTTCTATGTGCATTAATGTCTATATTGTGTTCTATGTGTATTAATGTCTACAGTGTGTTCTATCTGTATTAATGTTTAAATTGTGTAATATGTGTATTAATGTCTACATTGTGTTCTATGTGTACTACATTGTGTTATATGTGTATTAATGTCTACATTGTCTTATATGTGTACTCCATTGTGTTCTATGTGTAATAATGTCTACATTGTGTTCTATGTGTATTAATGTCTACATTGTGGTATATGTGTATTAATGTCTACATTGTGTTATATTTGTATTAATGTCTACATTGTGTTTTATGTGTATTAATGTCTATATTGTGTTCTATGTGTACAACATTGTGTTCTATGTGTATTGTGTATCAATGTTTGCATTGTGCTCTATGTGTATTAATGTCTACAGTGTGTTTTATGTGTATCAATGTCTACATTGTGTTCTATGTGTATTAATGTCTACATTGTGTTCTATGTGTATTAATGTCTACATTGTGTTATATGTGTATTAATGTCTACATTGTGTTATATGTGTATTAATGTCTACATTGTGTTCTATGTGTATTAATGTCTATATTGTGTTCTATGTGTATTAATGTCTACAGTGTGTTCTATGTGTATTAATGTCTACATTGTGTTATATGTGTAATAATGTCTACATTGTGTTATATGTGTATCAATGTCTACATTGTGTTATATGTGTAATAATGTCTACATTGTGTTCTATGTGTACAACATTGTGTTCTATGTGTATTGTGTATCAATGTCTGCATTGTGCTCTATGTGTATTAATGTCTACATTGTGTTCTATGTGTATTAAGGTTTACATTGTTCGTTCTATGTGTAAGAGAGAGAGAGAGAGAGAGAGAGAGAGAGAGAGAGAGAGAGAGAGTTATAATACACAAACAGGTAATTAAACCTGACATTTGATCAAATTGTTGAGTTCTACACACTGTTTTAGGTCCGAAAATGAACACTCTTGGAGACTTCTGGAAAATGGTCTGGCAACTTAAGACGGGGAAAATCGTAATGCTTGCAAAATGCGTTGAATTGGGAAAGGTTTGTTTGTGTTTAGTTGACAAATTGGTGTTAACAATTGGCTTAAAGCACTTAATTTGTATAAAGCATTAATACTTAGGTTATATTTCAATACATTAAAAATTACAGAAATACTTTCTGTCAGCATGCATATAAAAGGAGGGACATTGAGACATCAGCGCTGTGATAACTCTCCACAAACAGCAATAACAATGTCAGAGAGTTAACAATGTTAAGATTAATAGTTAGTTATTGTTTCGTATGACAAAGAAACTATATCGGAATTAGGCGCTTAGGCAACATTCGTCATGTATGAAAGGGAAAACCAGTATGGAAAGTGAATATTGCTACAACGTAACAATTCAAATCGTATACTATAGCTTATGAATTTTCAGAATCCGTATTCTTGTACATTGTATTCAATCTCTTTTCATAAATCAAATCAATTTGCTTTTCCCAACGTAATTAAAGATAATTCAAGCACAAAGACAGGAGACACATGTTCAATAGTCTAATAGTACTATTGAGGGATAGATCATATTCAATACAATCATTGTCAAACGTTACCAAAACAAAGTGTAGTTATGAATGATACCCTCTCATTTTCTATCATGAACAATGTTTTGTCCAATCATTTCAGCCAAAAGTTGAAAAGTACTGGCCTGATGCTGGGTCTTCGATTTCACATGATGGTATGAAGATAAGTTTTATATCTTCAAAAGAATACGCAGCCTACACAGTTCGGAAGTTGAAGCTAGAAAATGAAAATGTAAGAATTGTGTTAATTGAAATGATCAAACCTAAGGTTTTTTTTACAATATATGTTTGAAGGGTGTATTGTTATTGAAAAACGAAAATATAATATTTGTTAAAACAGAAATAATAAATTGCATTTTTTTCACCTTTGTTTATGCTTAAAAAGTGGAGTGTTGTTTTATGTGATACAAGTGTACATTTAAACTTTGTCAATTAACGCAATTACATTTTAAAGTACACATTGTACTACAGCAACTTCGAATTTTGTGTTATGATCTTATATACACCGTACCATGTTGCAGCGTTCTGTTTTTCGTGGGGGGAATAAGAATTATTTTTTACATATTATTTATCTTTAGTATTCCAATATACTTCCTAATTCCCGTCAACTTTTCCTCAATCTGAGTATTAATATACAACAAATACCAAACCGGCATAGTCAACAAACAGCAGGACATTGAATTATCTCCCCTTTAACTTTTAGAATCTTCTCGACGGGTCACTGACAAAATTCACGGAGTGCAACCGCGACATGCGGTTGCCATTAGAATATTCAGATATCGTTATTTACGCGTTCATGAAATAAAAGTGTATGTATAATTAGATAAGTATCACTAACAAACTCAGAATTTTATTTAAAAAACCTACAATTCATATACTGACATTTTTTAAAAATAACGGTTGTCATAATATCAGGGTTAAGAATAACATTATCAATCATATCCATCTAGGCACATCCAATATTTTTTAAATTGTTCCTAAATCACACATGATTCCATCAATCACCTTCCAGTTTGGAAAAGTCTTCACAGTAATCCAGCTGTCTTAAGGCTTAGATACTTTTGTAAGGAACATAATCCCGGTTTATCAAAACAACACTCAATGTTCTGATATTATGTCATGGTTACATGAACAACCGAACATAACTGATACTTATCTCTGACTTAGCTCGCTGAGCTCGAATTCGATTAAAACATTTCTACTGTTCGTAGTTTTGAAGGAAACCGATTATGTTAACTGTTATTAACAGTTTAAATGAATATCCATCTTGGTCTTCAGTTTACATGTTTGCGGTATATTGCAGACACAGAAGACCAGAGTAATCAGTCAGTTTCATCTCCTCAAGTGGCCAGACCATGGAACACCAGACGTCATGCATTTTGCACTCCTGTTGCTCCATATGGATTCTGTGAATTCCAAGCTGTCCGGACCAATAGTTGTACACTGCAGGTAATACATTGTAAATGGCGGGACGATACTTGTAAATTTAATCCGACTGTCAACTTCAGTTATCCATGTACAAGGTACAAGTAAGTACGACCGAACCAAAGATCGTCCACTTCAGGTATGGCACAAGTTTTGTACTCCCTCAGTACATACTTAATTTCCAATTATAGTCCGCTACATTTTGTACACAGATCTTGTACCTCTCCGGTTAGCATGACTGGACCATTGATCACCCAATTAATGTATGACACTTATCTTGTATTCCAAAAATGAAACCTACCGGGCCAATGAAATAGTCAATCATTGAAAAACATCATAAAACACTACATATATTTTATAGCATTGATGCATTGTAGGTGTCAAGTAAAACCTATGAATGATTGGCCACTGACAGTTAAACAGAGGCCTTGTTCTTATCCCTTTAGGTCGGGGTTTAAAATAGAAACCCCACCCCAAGAGCCAACTATTAAGGGAACCCCCTGCAGAAATGAGGATTTGGTTTCGTGCCTTCCTTTTCGGGACGCCAAAGGGACAAAATAAATCTGCTGCATCAATTGCAACATAAGGATTTATTTTTCAATCTTCTCTGTACTTCGTTTCAAACTTTTTTCATTCCTATTGCCTCACTTGGCTTTATATCACCTTTGGACTTGAACGATCTCCAAAGTGGGCCAGGGAACAAACCGAAGATTTTAATACTACCTTCTTCTTAAAATTTCAAATCATAAAAAACAAACACAATATATAAATACGATCCTAACTCAATGTTGACACAAAAAAAGACAAGAGGGCCGGAAGAGATACCAACACACAAAAGAAACAGATGCGAAAAGATGTGCCAATGAATATTTCCGGCACCTCGAGTAGATCTCGTTTGGCACCGTAGCCTATTCTATTCTCTTACGTTGCAGTGCTGGTGTAGGACGCACAGGGACATTCATAGCATCAGACGTGTTGTTCAGACATGGCAAATCCACTGGTCGGGTGGACCCCCCTGCTTACGTACAGAGCATGAGACAGGACAGGATGGACATGGTGCAGACAAAAGTAAGATATATACCGATACACTTATTTATTTATTTGTGTAAACTATTTCGGTCGATAAAAATGTATGAAATATGTATTCGTATTATAGTGATGTAATATATAATATACTTTTTACATATATGTTCCTCTTTAAAATCACTTTCTGATGTTCAATCCATATGTTAAAATCGTCGTATTTGATCTGTTAAGCATTTCTCGGAAAATGTCGTAGTGTTGAAAATAGTGTGGAACATCATCATAGATAGTGACTTCCTTTTGAATGCATTGAAAGGCGTGTCCAGTTAAATATTACCTTAAATCACCAATTTCCTGTCGTTATTTAACAATTGCATAAATATTTGTTTTATGCATTATACACGTAAACATTAAGCAAAATATCAAAAATGTGTTACAATTACGTTTCACCTTTACCGTGTTTGTGATTTATCACTCCTGATCTATGTGATAGACAGCGGTAAGAGTGATGTATTTATTGCTTATTTTTAACAACATCAATCTGTGATACATTCAAATATGTTTTTCATTTGAGGAAGTTTATTTCCTAGTCTATCAGCTGATGTATAAACGAGGTTGGTTACACTTTGTTTACAAATATAGCCACAGTATGTGTTTATATATCATGCCCTGGTGGAGCTCTTTCTCATTGACAACACCAAACTGACCGCTGGCGACTTCGATTCTAATTGCCTGAAATCCTCTCGTCTCCTTCAGGAATATAAGGTTAGTGACATTTTGTTTGTACTAGTTGAAAACATAACCAGCTTCTGAGTTTCGAACAACAAACAAACGAAATTCAAAGCTGAACAAATTATTCGATTTAAATTGAAACAAATCAAACCAAGTTGAAAACATCATTAAACATTAAATGAGTAAGGAATACTTATAGAAATGTTCGAATTTAACAACTTGCCTTGTTTTTAGGGTTGTCAGCGGTTAGCCGGTTAACCGTTTACTCGGTTAGAAGACCGCGATCCGGTTAATTAAATCGATAACAGAATAGTAGGACATGTATTTACTCTATGGGAAGCTTCATGTTTACCAATTAAGCCGAAATCGAATTTCTTTTTTATAAAAACAGTGTCCATATTGCACTGTAACGGTGTCGTGTTTGTGCTTGGTAGGACATCCTGACAAAGAGATACCGACAACTCATTCGAAACAGATTTCTAAAAGCAGCCAGAATGTATAGTTGCGAAATGCCAACTTTTCGATGTAAAACTCGCTTTCAGTGTGAGAAAAATAAATCTCAAGAGTACACATTTATATGATATATGTCAGTGAAACGTTAAAAGAGTTGCAATCATCTATTATTGTATCCCACTTTATCTTGATAAATGTTGATACTAAATTATACTTCACCCTTGTATTTTCTGCGTTTTGTTGATGAGGGCTTGATGATAATATGTTATACTTTTGAATGGAAGAATTGCTAAAAATACAATGTACAGTTGTGGGATCGCACAACGTTACACGATGTGCGGTGCGTGCAAAATGTGCGCACGGTGTGTGAACGATGTGTGCACGATATGCGAACGATAAAAAAAAGGGGACGGTCGTTGCTTGCGCACATTTGTGCGCATGATGGACGAACGTTGTACGATAACAATCGTGGTTGGGTGTAAATTGAGGAATGGCTTAACAATATATACGGTTTCGTGTTTAAAAATATAAACTTTATTTTTAAGAATGTTTCTATAATCTAGCTACATCAATAAGCTTATCTTTATACTTTCTTAAATTTAGAAATTGTGTTTTCGGTGTTTGTTTAAGCGACCTTATTCGACACATGTAAAATTATAACACAGTCCCTTATACAGGTAAACATAGCCATTTTGTACATGTACTTTGACCGNATATGTGTATCAATGTCTACATTGTGTTATATGTGTAATAATGTCTACATTGTGTTCTATGTGTACTACATTGTGTTATATGTGTATTAATGTCTACATTGTGTTTTATGTGTATTAATGTCTTCATTGTGTTATATGTGTACTACATTGTGTTCTATGTGCATTAATGTCTANGTAACAATTCAAATCGTATACTATAGCTTATGAATTTTCAGAATCCGTATTCTTGTACATTGTATTCAATCTCTTTTCATAAATCAAATCAATTTGCTTTTCCCAACGTAATTAAAGATAATTCAAGCACAAAGACAGGAGACACATGTTCAATAGTCTAATAGTACTATTGAGGGATAGATCATATTCAATACAATCATTGTCAAACGTTACCAAAACAAAGTGTAGTTATGAATGATACCCTCTCATTTTCTATCATGAACAATGTTTTGTCCAATCATTTCAGCCAAAAGTTGAAAAGTACTGGCCTGATGCTGGGTCTTCGATTTCACATGATGGTATGAAGATAAGTTTTATATCTTCAAAAGAATACGCAGCCTACACAGTTCGGAAGTTGAAGCTAGAAAATGAAAATGTAAGAATTGTGTTAATTGAAATGATCAAACCTAAGGTTTTTTTTACAATATATGTTTGAAGGGTGTATTGTTATTGAAAAACGAAAATATAATATTTGTTAAAACAGAAATAATAAATTGCATTTTTTTCACCTTTGTTTATGCTTAAAAAGTGGAGTGTTGTTTTATGTGATACAAGTGTACATTTAAACTTTGTCAATTAACGCAATTACATTTTAAAGTACACATTGTACTACAGCAACTTCGAATTTTGTGTTATGATCTTATATACACCGTACCATGTTGCAGCGTTCTGTTTTTCGTGGGGGGAATAAGAATTATTTTTTACATATTATTTATCTTTAGTATTCCAATATACTTCCTAATTCCCGTCAACTTTTCCTCAATCTGAGTATTAATATACAACAAATACCAAACCGGCATAGTCAACAAACAGCAGGACATTGAATTATCTCCCCTTTAACTTTTAGAATCTTCTCGACGGGTCACTGACAAAATTCACGGAGTGCAACCGCGACATGCGGTTGCCATTAGAATATTCAGATATCGTTATTTACGCGTTCATGAAATAAAAGTGTATGTATAATTAGATAAGTATCACTAACAAACTCAGAATTTTATTTAAAAAACCTACAATTCATATACTGACATTTTTTAAAAATAACGGTTGTCATAATATCAGGGTTAAGAATAACATTATCAATCATATCCATCTAGGCACATCCAATATTTTTTAAATTGTTCCTAAATCACACATGATTCCATCAATCACCTTCCAGTTTGGAAAAGTCTTCACAGTAATCCAGCTGTCTTAAGGCTTAGATACTTTTGTAAGGAACATAATCCCGGTTTATCAAAACAACACTCAATGTTCTGATATTATGTCATGGTTACATGAACAACCGAACATAACTGATACTTATCTCTGACTTAGCTCGCTGAGCTCGAATTCGATTAAAACATTTCTACTGTTCGTAGTTTTGAAGGAAACCGATTATGTTAACTGTTATTAACAGTTTAAATGAATATCCATCTTGGTCTTCAGTTTACATGTTTGCGGTATATTGCAGACACAGAAGACCAGAGTAATCAGTCAGTTTCATCTCCTCAAGTGGCCAGACCATGGAACACCAGACGTCATGCATTTTGCACTCCTGTTGCTCCATATGGATTCTGTGAATTCCAAGCTGTCCGGACCAATAGTTGTACACTGCAGGTAATACATTGTAAATGGCGGGACGATACTTGTAAATTTAATCCGACTGTCAACTTCAGTTATCCATGTACAAGGTACAAGTAAGTACGACCGAACCAAAGATCGTCCACTTCAGGTATGGCACAAGTTTTGTACTCCCTCAGTACATACTTAATTTCCAATTATAGTCCGCTACATTTTGTACACAGATCTTGTACCTCTCCGGTTAGCATGACTGGACCATTGATCACCCAATTAATGTATGACACTTATCTTGTATTCCAAAAATGAAACCTACCGGGCCAATGAAATAGTCAATCATTGAAAAACATCATAAAACACTACATATATTTTATAGCATTGATGCATTGTAGGTGTCAAGTAAAACCTATGAATGATTGGCCACTGACAGTTAAACAGAGGCCTTGTTCTTATCCCTTTAGGTCGGGGTTTAAAATAGAAACCCCACCCCAAGAGCCAACTATTAAGGGAACCCCCTGCAGAAATGAGGATTTGGTTTCGTGCCTTCCTTTTCGGGACGCCAAAGGGACAAAATAAATCTGCTGCATCAATTGCAACATAAGGATTTATTTTTCAATCTTCTCTGTACTTCGTTTCAAACTTTTTTCATTCCTATTGCCTCACTTGGCTTTATATCACCTTTGGACTTGAACGATCTCCAAAGTGGGCCAGGGAACAAACCGAAGATTTTAATACTACCTTCTTCTTAAAATTTCAAATCATAAAAAACAAACACAATATATAAATACGATCCTAACTCAATGTTGACACAAAAAAAGACAAGAGGGCCGGAAGAGATACCAACACACAAAAGAAACAGATGCGAAAAGATGTGCCAATGAATATTTCCGGCACCTCGAGTAGATCTCGTTTGGCACCGTAGCCTATTCTATTCTCTTACGTTGCAGTGCTGGTGTAGGACGCACAGGGACATTCATAGCATCAGACGTGTTGTTCAGACATGGCAAATCCACTGGTCGGGTGGACCCCCCTGCTTACGTACAGAGCATGAGACAGGACAGGATGGACATGGTGCAGACAAAAGTAAGATATATACCGATACACTTATTTATTTATTTGTGTAAACTATTTCGGTCGATAAAAATGTATGAAATATGTATTCGTATTATAGTGATGTAATATATAATATACTTTTTACATATATGTTCCTCTTTAAAATCACTTTCTGATGTTCAATCCATATGTTAAAATCGTCGTATTTGATCTGTTAAGCATTTCTCGGAAAATGTCGTAGTGTTGAAAATAGTGTGGAACATCATCATAGATAGTGACTTCCTTTTGAATGCATTGAAAGGCGTGTCCAGTTAAATATTACCTTAAATCACCAATTTCCTGTCGTTATTTAACAATTGCATAAATATTTGTTTTATGCATTATACACGTAAACATTAAGCAAAATATCAAAAATGTGTTACAATTACGTTTCACCTTTACCGTGTTTGTGATTTATCACTCCTGATCTATGTGATAGACAGCGGTAAGAGTGATGTATTTATTGCTTATTTTTAACAACATCAATCTGTGATACATTCAAATATGTTTTTCATTTGAGGAAGTTTATTTCCTAGTCTATCAGCTGATGTATAAACGAGGTTGGTTACACTTTGTTTACAAATATAGCCACAGTATGTGTTTATATATCATGCCCTGGTGGAGCTCTTTCTCATTGACAACACCAAACTGACCGCTGGCGACTTCGATTCTAATTGCCTGAAATCCTCTCGTCTCCTTCAGGAATATAAGGTTAGTGACATTTTGTTTGTACTAGTTGAAAACATAACCAGCTTCTGAGTTTCGAACAACAAACAAACGAAATTCAAAGCTGAACAAATTATTCGATTTAAATTGAAACAAATCAAACCAAGTTGAAAACATCATTAAACATTAAATGAGTAAGGAATACTTATAGAAATGTTCGAATTTAACAACTTGCCTTGTTTTTAGGGTTGTCAGCGGTTAGCCGGTTAACCGTTTACTCGGTTAGAAGACCGCGATCCGGTTAATTAAATCGATAACAGAATAGTAGGACATGTATTTACTCTATGGGAAGCTTCATGTTTACCAATTAAGCCGAAATCGAATTTCTTTTTTATAAAAACAGTGTCCATATTGCACTGTAACGGTGTCGTGTTTGTGCTTGGTAGGACATCCTGACAAAGAGATACCGACAACTCATTCGAAACAGATTTCTAAAAGCAGCCAGAATGTATAGTTGCGAAATGCCAACTTTTCGATGTAAAACTCGCTTTCAGTGTGAGAAAAATAAATCTCAAGAGTACACATTTATATGATATATGTCAGTGAAACGTTAAAAGAGTTGCAATCATCTATTATTGTATCCCACTTTATCTTGATAAATGTTGATACTAAATTATACTTCACCCTTGTATTTTCTGCGTTTTGTTGATGAGGGCTTGATGATAATATGTTATACTTTTGAATGGAAGAATTGCTAAAAATACAATGTACAGTTGTGGGATCGCACAACGTTACACGATGTGCGGTGCGTGCAAAATGTGCGCACGGTGTGTGAACGATGTGTGCACGATATGCGAACGATAAAAAAAAGGGGACGGTCGTTGCTTGCGCACATTTGTGCGCATGATGGACGAACGTTGTACGATAACAATCGTGGTTGGGTGTAAATTGAGGAATGGCTTAACAATATATACGGTTTCGTGTTTAAAAATATAAACTTTATTTTTAAGAATGTTTCTATAATCTAGCTACATCAATAAGCTTATCTTTATACTTTCTTAAATTTAGAAATTGTGTTTTCGGTGTTTGTTTAAGCGACCTTATTCGACACATGTAAAATTATAACACAGTCCCTTATACAGGTAAACATAGCCATTTTGTACATGTACTTTGACCGTAGTTCTCCCCCGCCCGTTTCAAATCTTCCTTTTCTGTCTAAGATATTGGAGAAGGTTGTGTCCCGGCGTTTAGAGGTTCATCACCATGCAAACAGTCTCCATGACAACATGCAATCGGCCTAACGCATGGGACACTCTACTGAGACGGCCCTCCTGCATGTACATAGTGATATAGCTTCTGCATTGGATAACAAGTGCAGAGCGGTGCTTGTCATGCTGGACCTGTCAGCTGCATTTGACGTCATCGACCATGGCATACTTTATTAACGTCAGGAATACTCTTATGGAGTGACTGATACCGCACTATGCTGGATACAGTCATACCTGAGTGAACGACGATGTGTGTTGCCATCGGATCTGCCACCTGACATGACAAAGTACTAGATTTCGGGGTTCCTCAAGGGTCGGTGTTAGAACCACGAAAATATTGTATGTACTCCAAACCGATTGGAGAGATTTGTCGTCGCCATAGCCTTCGCTATCATTGCTATGCGATGACGCACAAATGTACATGGTCATAAAACCACAGGACAGTTGGAATATAGTCTCAGAAAATCTGGAAACTTGTCTGACAGATATCAGTATCTGGATGAACGCCAACATGCTTAAACTCTATCAAGAAAAGACGGAACTAATCGTCTTTTCCCAAAAGTGTCAGCAAACAATGGCTCTCCAGCTCAAGGTTGGTGCCATAACTATTGAGACTGTTCCAGCTGTTAAAAACCTATGGGTATACTTTGACAGTTCTCTGAACATGGAGAAACAAGTGAACGCTATTGCCAAATTCTGCTACTACAAGATCAGGAACATCGGCTGTATTCGGCAGTTTCTAACTGCAGATGCATGCAAGATTTTGGTGCATTCACTTGTTACCTCTCGGTTGGATTATGGTAACGCCCTGCTCTGTGGTATATCTGACAAACTAACTAGTCGTCTGCAAAGGGTCCAGAACACTGCAACACGACTAGTTACTCGTACTCGTAAGAGAGAGCACATCACACCTGCGCTTTATTCGTTGCACTGGTTACCTGTACGATACAGGTCGCAGTACAAAATTCTGGTATACACATACAAGGCACTGAATGGAACAGCTCATCAGTACCTACAGGAGCTTGTTACCCTGTATCAGCCGTCAAGATCACTGCGGTCGGAGCTAGAATCTTTGTTGTGTGTCCCAAAATCTCGTACGGAAACAGATGCTTTGGGAGGGTTTCGGCTACGTTGTGGAATAGCTTACCATCTGCTATTAGGAAGTCAAATGCCCTGGCCGAGTTCAAGAGGGACATAAAAACTCACCTCTTCACGTCTGCATTTTAGAATCTTTGCAAAGACGTCATGTAAATACCACCCTTTTATTTGTTCAATTATGTGCACATTGCTTGTTAAATGTATGAAAGTGATTGCAAGCCTTTGTTTTTTGTTTTCACAATTATAACCATTACTATTATCCATATGTTGTAAAGCGCCTTAGAGTAATTTTACAAATTATATAGGGCGCTATATAAATGATGTATATTATTATTATTATTATTATTATTATTATTATTATTATTATAGGCCAAACCGAATGCAAATAACAAATACCAAACGTCCAGTTGTGTTTTCATAACGGTAATACAGTATCATATATCAGCTCTACCCGTCAGGCACAGGTAAAACTTCGGTCACTCACTCAATTGTTATTTTCCTGTTCTGCTACCTTGGAGCCAAACCCATTCTTGACAGTCTAACGGTTACGGTAATACTGTGTAACACGCATTGTAAAATTGTACATAATCTTAATTATTGTGATGAGAAATTACAGTAATATTAAAGTGTATATTATTGTATACGAGCCTTCCGTATATTTTTAATTCCGATATGTTGATCAACAAAATGTACCAAATCGCACAGTTGTGCGGAGAGAAGCATACAACGGGGCAAACGATGGTTAAATCGCACAGTTGTGCGCACCATGTGTGGACGATGTTCGGACGGTGTGTGAGCGATGTATGCACGTGTGCGCATGCTACTTTTGGTGCGTTGTGTGGTCAGACTACTGTATGTGTTGTTTTTTGTTTGATTACCTAACTGACCGATTAATCGGTCGGATGATTTTACGAGTTGTAATCAGTTACTACAGTTCGTTCGTTTTGACAAAACTACTTATCTTCAATGAGTTATAAATAAGTGAGAAAAAAACTCACATTCAAGCTTTCTGTTGCTGTCAGAAACTCAATGGAAAACGCCCAACCATTCCCGAAGACCTGATGTCAAATGGCTTAATGCCACAGAACCAGAGGAAAAACAGGGACCAAGAAATACTGCCAGGTAACTTGGTTATATTATGAGTTCATTAAGCTAACATGGGTTCGTAGAAAACATATCCGCATTTACACAAAAAAAAATTGCGCCGATCACTTTTGTGTGGATCCTATTTCCGGTTCAGGCCGGTACATGGCGCGAGCAGACGTTCTTCTAGAAGTTGATAAAATAAGTTCCAAATCGGGAAAATTCATTCTTAAGTTGTTTAATAAGTCGTTCTCAACTTCTTCTTGGATATTGCCATACCGACAATTTATGATAATGAATATATCATGCCACCGGTACAAGATATATAGGGTTTATAGAGGATAAATTGAGTTGCTTGCGGGTACAAAACGACAACCAATACATAAAGACAGTGTTACTTTTTCTAAAGAAAGAAGCCATGCTGTTAGCCTGGATCAATAACTACACTGAACGTGTCATCAAGCTGTCATACACCGATATACTTTAAGTGCCTGTACTTCATAGTATACCTGTCAATTGCATTTGGTAATTATGACCGACCCTTCTACTAACACGTGCAATATTGATGTACTGTAAAATTGGAATAATTAAATGTACAGTCCAACTTAAAACACGGGCTGTACCTTGATCTGCAAGGCGTTATAAAATTGAGAGTTATTTAAAATAATGAAGGATACTGTATCAGAGAACTAGTGGGATTTTTTCATGATTGATATAGCATATATTCACGGATTAAAAGCAGAAATTTTATTGCAGGCAACCAACACCGTCCACTTTTGTCATCACACCCAGCCAACAAGACCGACTATATTAATGCTGTGTTTCTTCCGGTAATTTTCAATACAATTATGCCACCTTATTGAGAAAATGCATGTATTATTGAAAATAGTTTCCCACTTAAATATTCATAAAACTTTTGATATGATAGGCAATAAACACAAGAATCCATGAATTCATCATATCATTTTGAATAATTAGGTTATTCTAATCTAAAGAAGTTTCGCGGAAGAAAATACTCAAAACGAGACGTTAATATTTTATATATATCTATATTCTATTTTCTAAAATAGTTATGTTGTAATAAAATGCCTGATTTTTTTATTGATATTCTTGTTGCAGACAGTTCAGAGATATGAGGGATATATAGCGACTCAGTGGCCTCTCCCGGAAACTGCGGACGACTTCTGGGCGATGATTCACGACTACAGGTCTACGGCAGTGGTCATTTTGGACAGCGATGCTGATACCAATGTTCGTTAAACTGTCAACTTTCATGTTTAGTTTAAGAAATCGAGACAGACAACAACATGCTTTTGTATCCGTTATAGATGTGTCATTGTATATATTAGAATGTTAAGTAACATAAAAAAAAGTATGTTTTCAGTGAACGACTACCGATGTTTATGGTCTCGTTATAAGTAAAAAAAAAAAACAGGAAACGTATTCAGTTCGAGATGAATGCTAATATCAGTTAACTAGAGAAAAACATTCAGGATTCATCTTATACAATTTCGCCAGTGATATTTCGAATTGTAAAAGACTTGATACAACGTGTATCTTTTACACTGTGACATATATCAAAAGTTATATTTGTCACGGTGTGAAAATATCATTTTCGGTCTTTACTAATCAGAACAGATCTCTCTATTCACTTTATTGAGAGCACCATATTTTTTATTCAGATACAGGTAGGTATTTGGTATACGTGATGTTTTCGCTCACCTTTGCTACACTAACTAAGGTATTAATTTACCTACGCAATGGATACCATTTCTTTAAGCAAATCTTACCTCTTTATATCGGAGAATGGTACAACATTTCTTTCGTATCCAATTCAAAATGGCGTGCAGCCTTGTTGTCAAGTAAGACGTCATCACAATATGGCGCCATCATATCCCAAATTTGTTTGATGCCGTAACATTTGTGTCTTTGTTGACAGTTTTAAATTATTATAAATAGTAAATTTAATGTCTTCCCGTTAAATTTCATATATATTTCACTCGTATGTGAAAAAATATTTTGATTGTTGTAGGACATTTTAGAAATGTTGTATTACGTGAAACTAGAAAAATAAAACGTTTTATTATGTTTTTCATCTCATTCAAAAGCGTTATTTTGTGAGCCGCAAAAATCATCATCACATTCAACTGAAATATGGACATGAAAAAATCTGATAATAAATTCACAATGTCCGTACTATGAGCTGTTATATATTATTTTTTTACACAGGATCCCAACTTGATGCCATCGGGGGAAGAGCCCAAGATCTCAGCAGGCATTTTCTCTGTACAAACGTCGAGTGACCCATGGACTGAGGGTTCCATCGCCATTGCAGAAGTGTACTTAACTAAAGTGGTAGGTAAATCACTTTTCGACATGTTTAGTCTTATAATCATATAGGCTAGTTATTTTTTTTTCATTTTAAGATAATATTAGAATGACATTTTAGAGATAATCAAATTCATATCGTGGTATATGGAGACAGTTTTCTATTACCGTAATATTGACTAAAATAATAACAGAAGAAAAGGGTTCTGTGTTGTTATTGGCATTTTTATCGCAACTTCCATCAAAATTTAGAACCTGTTATTATTTTTTCAAAACAATATTGTTTTAAATTTAGAACTTCCCCGATACTATTATGACATAGTGTTGTTGACAGATATGGTAGCAATGGCAACCAGTTAAAATATGTTTATTAGTACAATGTGAATATTCAGTCAATTTGTCATTGTTTTTTTGTCTTCGAAACCATTGAGCACATTCTTCGGCAATGTTTATCGTTCTTCTGAAGATGTATTATGTGTACACCCTCGATGATTTCCAGGAGTTAAAGTATGCAAAATGAATAAATAAATAAAACAAAATTTAGAGAAAATTGAAATATTCATAGTTTATGCAAATTACAATGACACCAATAATTAAGGACGCAAAAATCTCAGTAATTATATAGTTAAATATTCAATATTAAAGCAACATTATTTTGAAAGTTTGATTTGATTTTGGTGCCGTTGAGACAAATAAGGCTTTAAAATAAAATAAATCAGACTATTGAATTAAATAGCGGGTGCTGTTAAGATCAATTTGAAAAATTAACCCTATTCCAAGTATGAATACAAAGCTGTAGGCAAGAAGAAATTATCTTTGATAATCATGAGACATAAAGGGAAAAAAAGAACGATGAAATGACCGACGAAACAAAAATCTCCGTTTACGGTTTGTATTCTTTTATTGATTTTATAGGGAGATAAAGATTCACAGAAACTCAAAATATTCAAAATATGTGACTGGCCCAATGACGAACAAACGTGTCCCGAAGGCTGCGTTACGCAGATAGTGTACGCGTCACAGGAATGGCAGAGAAACGTCACTTCCGCTGGTCCCATCACTGTCGTCTGCAGGTTTGTGTCTATGCTGTTTAAGATAACCGTCGTTTCCTGCTGCATTTGAGCATTACCGTAAATGTATCGTAAATTTGGCTTTTACAATGTTCATGTAGTCGTTTCGTTTGAAAACAATTACAGGTTGAACTGTATTAACTGCATATTGACAACAAATGTGTTTCTATAAATGCTAAGTTTTAAACTTGAAGGCATATGAAAAAAAAACCATTATACATTGTTCATATGTTGATTGGCACGCTACCAACTACAACCCTTAAATCTATATCTAACAAACGAAATAATTCGTATATAAAAATACATTGAATGAAAGCTTGAAATATCCGACGAGGTTGTGTTTTATAGATGACCACGAATTCACGTGGTACAAACATTCAATGGATATGACTACATCTTAAGTTGAAAGGTGAATTAAACTTATATTCATGTACTTAGTGTTATGGTTAGATATTTGAGCATAATAACATAGCAGCATACGAAATTTTAATATGGAAACGATGAGATGTTCGTTAAACACTGTCCCAAGGTTGTCTCTCTCCTGTTAAGAAAGGAACACCATGATGGCAATTTTTCTCATTGTTAAAAAAATGCATCATTAATTTGTCGAAGATTATCCGACAAAACCCGTAATGGTTCATTTATATTATTTTTTCAGGAACGGGGCCTCGAAAAGTGGAGTATTTTGTACCGTTGCTAATGCTATTGAAAACATCAACCTTAACCATCACATGAGTCTGGTTCAGGTTGTGAGACAGCTACAGCTTCGTCGTCCGTCCTTCATCAACACTTACGTACGTATCCCTAGCTATCTTTGTTATCAAACACAACCAGAAAACAAGTAAGACCACTTAGGTATTTTTCATTGATCTACGATGCCAGGTTATGACATATCTCGTTTTTCTTTTCATTACAGGCCTTCTTTTTTTTACGTTATATAATCACATGAAAACATTACTTTTTGCTTTCCGAAAGTTTGAAAGAAAGCGCCGATGAAGACAGAATAATGGTGTAAACCCGTGGCGTTGCAGTACGTTTTGCCAGGTTCAATTCTAACAGAAAGTTACCTAAGGCAAAACAAATGGCGTATGAATTGTTGAATGCTTAACCACAATTCAGACAAGGATGCGTTAAAACCGAGTATATTTTACTGATTCAAATAGTTCAGCTACGTCTATTATGCCACTTATCTAATCTCATTAGGCAACGCTTTAGAATTCCTAGTTAATCTATTAATGTATGAGCATTTTGTGGCAAGATGTTCCTTGTGTTTGATTTAATGTTGAAAGCGTGGTCTTTCATATTTATTTTCAAAACAATTTTAATTATTATATGCTTGAAGATTTCTCGCAATCACATTGGTCGGGTCCTATACACGTGACCAGTCCTCAAAATCTCATGTAGAGTGGTTATCCGGTCAATATCGATTTCTAAATATAGCCTATATGGAAAAAACCTGGAACTTGTCGTAGTGCATGCTCAGTTAGAACGGAACGCGATCTGTCAGAGAACAGCAGAGGATTGCTGCTGGCGACACTTCGCCTCCGTTACATTAATAAATTTCGAAACAAAAAGTCAATTGGTCATCGTTTCAATGAGCCCATTTACCTTGACTATGATTAGAATAGAATCCCTTTTGGTATCAATTATATTTCCAACAAATCTAGAACAAAAGAGCTGTTCGTGTGTATACACCTGATACAGTGTATAAAGGTATGACATGACAGTTTTACTAGTCTGTTTTTCATTGCAGGAGAGCTACGTCATGTGCAATCGAGAAGTTAAGGTACATTTTGATTCCTTGTCAGAATACCAAAACTACGAAGGACCATCTTAAAATTAATATGTACGTTTGACAGTGTTCAGTGTATAAAGTTGGACAGAAAACAATGTTTATATATTTTACATCTCGGTGAAATCGTAAACTTTATTTATATGCACAGAAACTTTTCTATAACATAATCATTTTGTATTGTTAGCAGTGTCATCTAACCCATTTATGTCTGTCCTATCATACCGTAAAACGGGTTGTCTTCATTGAGTTCTTATGAAAATCAATTAATCAAATGTTCATCATTCAAAGTTTCACGATTGTAGAATAAGAACTGTTTTATTATCAATCTCACTTACACAGAATATTCTAGTTTTCTGCCAAACGTGAACAATTGGTGATCATTTGTGTTATTTCAATCATGATGCAATTCTAGAGATCACTATTATATATTTAACAAAACTTCATCTCCACGTTTAGTTAAGGATTTTCGTACTTATCATTATGTCTCCAAAGCTAAATTAATTATTTGTAGTACGTGTATTTCAACTTGTATGTTTCCGACCCTAGCCAGATACATCTTCATGCGAGTTGACCAATAACTATATATTACATTTGTAATTATATTTTTACACACAGAATTGAATTGGTTTGTACAAAAGTATATCTGAAGGAACAAAGTAGCATTTTTGCGACAAAGTATTAATTGGTTAAAGACCATATCTATGATGAAAAACATAGTGTAACCCTCTATACGGTTATAGCATGAACTTACCTTCTCATATAAAAGTATTATATATTCATCAAAATATATAGCACCTTGTCAACATATATTGCTTATATATGTTTTAACATTTTGTACTGATCAGATTTATCTGCATGAAATTTTACTTTTTTATTCTCATATATATACTTAATCGTATTTGTTCACATAAAGTGGTTGTACATATTGTAGTACGACTCTAATTACTTAATGTATGCATGCGTTTTCTTAAACGATTATGATCACAAGGGGAAATCATTTTTGTCATTTAATAGGGCACTTAAAACATTTCAATGCAGCTTGCTAAGGCTTGCTTAAAGGAAAACTTCAACACTTGTTTTATGAACCGCATAAAATTGGCAATCTATGACAGGAAAGTCACTAAGTGTTTCAATATTTTTAGAGTTCTTTGACTCCATTCATTCCTGTAAGGTGTTCGGTTTTCCTGCAACCTCTGATATACTATAAGCGTTTGAATTAGGAGTTTATAATTTTCATATTCTTCTCAAATACAACCATGTGTTCATTGCATCCGGTTCACATTATCAATTTATTATTCACGGGGAGGATGAAGCATAGTGCATTGGTACAGATTGATCAATTAATAACAAGAGACTACATGTCAATGTGCGATTATGAAGTCTTTCCAATGGATGTTTCCTATGCGAGGAGAGAACTGTCTTGTTGTCGTCCCGTTTATTTCATTTTAGCTAACATGGCACGAGGTGTCTGTGTATTTGTGCCATTGATAATGTCCATCGTCCGTTTGCCTGTTGTCTAGCGTTTTTCGTCATTACTTTTTTCATCCGGCGACAACATTTGACACATCACAATGCCTACCGGCACGATATTTGGCAGGAAGTTAACACTGTACTTAGACCAGTAGTTATCAACTTCATTCAAGGTCGCAGACATCAAATGTATCGTAAACCTCAAACGACTTCTTGTTAAGTACTAAACGACATAGAATCAAATAATCTGTTTGTAGCTAGCTGATTTGATGGGCTAGGATGAATGTCTTTGATCAATTAAATATCATACTGATAAGATTTCATAATTGAACAAGGGGGATATTGTCGTGAAATTTAGCAGGTACATTGATAAATATTTTCAAAAGAAAATTGCCTGTACTTTTATTCAAATTTACTTGTGTCAAATATGTTTATCAACCCAAAAGACTGTTTTTCAAGATCAAAGCGTACTATAGTCTTGATATTCGGCCTGTCGCTTGTTCATGTAAAATATGGAAAAAAAGAAGTTACATTCAATGTATCCGAGCGTTACGCTAGAATTTGTCCAATATAATGTAAGTATAACACATCAGAAGTGGAATACAGACCCCATTGGCCTCTTGATTTATAACAATGTCTAAATTATATTGTAGTGTGTGCTGGTATACTTATTTTTCTGTTTTGCGTTGCAAATTAATTTAGTATTATCAAATTCCATGTTATATTTGACCTTATGTTCTGATGGTTGAACGTATCAAACTTGTTAGTTCAGAGCATCTGATCCGGTGTAATGTTGCAATATCTAACCAGGTTTCTAAATTTAGTTTTCTAGGAATTAATTACACTGATAAATTCTAGAATTCGATGGGCTGAATTTTGACGTATTAACATTAATTCCATACATCAAAAATAACCTGAACACTTTGAATCAGATTTCCATTATAGAAAGTTACTTTTTCTATAAAAAAAACAACACGATTTTGTCGAATTATCCGGATCCGGATTCAAGCAGATCTGGTATTCATTCAGAAGAGATTTTTAAATCTGTACTAAGCTATCTTCATATTTTTTAATATAATTGATTTAACAACTATAGAAGAAATGTCATTTTCTACTGCATATTTTTGTATGTAACCTATATAAAAATCATCTTTAAATACGTTCCTATGTAACCGGAATAACTAAGACATCTACACTTTATACATTGTAAAATGGGGGAAAACACAGGCGTTTACAAAGGTCCAAGTATATGTATTACTATTGATTCTGTGAACAAAGGTCCCAGTATATGTATTACTATTGAATCTGACAACAAAGGTCCCGGTATATGTATTACTATTGATTCTGTGAACAAAGGTCCCAGTATATATATTACTATTGATTCTGTGAACAAAGGTCCCGGTATATGTATTACTATTGATTCTGTAAACAAAAGTCCCAGTATATGTATTACTATTGATTCTGTAAACAAAGGTCCCGGTATATGTATTACTATTGATTCTGTAAACAAAGGTCCCAGTATATGTATTACTATTGATTCTGTGAACAAAGGTCCTGGTATATGTATTACTATTGATTCTGTAAAAAAGGTCCCGGTATATGTATTACTATTGATTCTGTGAACAAAGGTCCCGGTATATGTTTACTGTTGGACCTGTGAACAAAGGTCCCAGTATATGTATTACTATTGATTCTGTGAACAAAGGTCCCGGTATATGTTTACTGTTGGACCTGTGAACAAAGGTCCCAGTATATGTATTACTATTGACTCTGTAAACAAAAGTCCCAGTATATGTATTACTATTGACTCTGTGAACAAAGGTCCCAGTATATAATATTACTATTGACTCTGTGAACAAAGGTCCCAGTATATGTATTACTATTGATTCTGTAAACAAAAGTCCAACTTTATGAATTTCTGTGCAAAACTGATCTAGATGGTCTTTAGTAACACTAGCTATAAGTACATATATCCCTTTTTTGTATATTGACTTAAGCAAATCTGCAAATTTTATATTGTACTTTTTTCATAAATTAGACTTTCTTAAGTCCATTGACAAGAACGTTTCCATACAGAATGAAACTAACTCTATTACATCGTTCAGACAGATTTCCTGGATTTCATCTATATCATATCTATTGAAACTTGTCCCCACCAGTGTCATTTTCCTTATTGTTTTCTTGGGTGGCGCTGAGCTGGAATAAAATGTCATTACTCTATTCCACCTTTTTCGATAGATATTGTTTATGTTGTATATAAGTTTATGCAACATGGTTGACATTTCTGTAACCGTGTCTGCCATGTTATTCGTCATTTAATAAAATGACATTTACTTGACATATTCTATTTCTTTGTTGTTCTTGATGTATATATATCCAAAAACTAGCTTAGGTCGTGATCTGATAATTGTGATTGAAATGTATAGCATAAATGCTATTTACCTTATTGTTTTATTTGTATTTTAACCATTCAATGGCAATAACGTAAATGTTAACGCTATGTACAGGGAAATTAAATCGTTATATTTTCATGTATATTTAGAAATGTATATAATTATATATTGTATACAGTTGTGGGATCGCACAACGTTTTACAGTGTGCGGTGTGTTCACGATGTGTGCATGATGTGCGAACGATAAAAAAAATTGGAACGATCATTGTGCGATAAAAACCGTGGTTGGTGTAAATTGAGGAATGGCTTAACAATAGGTATGGTTTCGTGTTTAAACATATACATTTGATTTTTAAGAATGTTTCTATGTTCTAGCTACATCTATAAGCTTATGATTCTGTCTAAACTTTCTTAAATTTATTAATGTTGTTTTCGGTGTTTTTTAAACGACCTTAAACGACACATGTAAAATTTCAACACAGTCCCGTATATAGGTTAACAGAGCCACTTTCCACAGGTACTCGACCGTAGTTTTCTTCACCCGGGGTACTTACGTAACTCGTCGGGGTGTGAACACCCAGGTGAAGGGGAGCTATAGGCTAAAACGAATGCAAATAACAAAAACTGAACGTCTAGTTGTGTTTTCATAACGGTCAAACGGTATCACATATCAGCTCTATGTGTCAGGCACCGGCCAGGTAAAACTCCGGTCACTCATCCAATTGTTATTTACCCGTTCTCTTACCTTGGAGCCAAACTCATTCTTGACAGTCTAACGGTCACTGTAATACTGAGTAACACGCATTGTAAAACTATTGCGATGGGGAATTATAGTAATATATACAGTGTATATTATTGCATATCAGCCTTCCGTATTCCTTTCATTCCGATATATTGATCAACGAATTGTACCAAATTGAAACGTTGTGCGGAGAGAAGCGGTACAACGGGGCGAACGATTGTTAAATCGCACAGTTATGTATACCTTGTGTGGACGATGTGCGAACGGTGTGTGAACGATGTGCACACGCTATTTTTGGTGCGCTGTTTGGTCACGCAACTGTATGTGTGTATGTGTGTATGTGTGTACAAATAATTCAGTCAAATGAAGAAATGTCATATTTTTGTACAATTTTATAAAATTCGAGAAAACGGTTCTTGAACAAATCATACAGTTTTGTTAAATAAATAATATCTTGAAGAAGTATGTCATATTTTTTAAAATAAAGACAACTTCAGCAATACATTTTTGTCACATTTAAAGATGCATTATATTGCCTCGGGTAATCGACAAAATTCTCATAGATATATAATTGAACCCGTTTTACTTGAATTCTAACTCTTTAAATGTTTGCAGTCTTGTTATTAATATCAGTTTTCAAACGCAGACTACAATGGTTCTTGATATATATTTCAGATATAATGGATCCACATATCGAAGAGATTCTCATACTAATCATTGTATTATTAAACTCAAAAATGTATTCCGACAGTCTTTCTGACGCCTTTCAGTATCAAATACTGCGCCATTGTTCGCCCATTGACATGAGGACGTATTTATCAGTATAGCGAATAGTAGTAAACACCATAACAAAAATAGTTATTAAACGTGAAGGGCGAAATTAAAACTGGGCGAATATGGTTTTTACGGGCGAACGTTTGACAGGGCAAACATGTTTAGGTATACACCCAGTTGTCTCTGTGCCCTGTACATGGAATCACTCTGTTAAGTATCTTATAAAGGATTAATAATTGCAATGATGATATTACATAACGGAAGGCAAACATGGCGAAAGTAAAAACTGCGACAAAACTTTTCGTGTATACATGAAGTCAATATTTATTTTTTTATTCTTTGAAATTAACGTTGTTTATGTTCCAATTTTTGTATTGTTACAAGGCCCTGTCCACTACTATGGTAATATGGTCATTAACATCTTTGAAGACAGCTCTTGCTGAATGCTTATAGTTGTGGAAATTCCGCTTACGCCTCTCTCAAACTTTTTAGCGAAAGGTGGATGATCTGTTAATACCAGTGGTTACAAAGAAACACGTTATCAACAGAATTTTCATTGTTTTTCTTTTATTTCATTCGAGGGATGAATATTTTAGGGATTGTTTGATCAAAAACAAATAACACTACATTATGTGTGTTTCTTGGCTTCATGGTCTAATTTTGATTTTAGAATGTCGATTCATTACATTTCTAAATTACATTTTCCCCCAATATATGAAAGTTGGCGTTTTCAACATAAACCAGATGAACGATAAGCATTTTGTGTTTCATGGTGAAAGTTAGGCGTTTTACTCATTGCCCAGTTGACAGTGTGGCGAGCTACGTATAGACCAGATGAAAAGTTGGCGTTTTAAACATAGCACATATGCAAGTTTGGCATTTTAAACATAGCCCAGATGAAAACATGGCGTTTTAAACATAGACCAGATGAAAGTTTGGTGCTTTTAACATAAACCAGATAAACGTTTGTCGTTTCAATAATAGCCCAGATGAAAGTTTGGCGTTTTAATTATAGCCCCGATGAACGCTTGGCGTTTTACTAATTGTCCAGTTGACAGTGTGGCGTTCTACTTATAGACCAGATGAAAAGTTGGCGTTTTAAACATAGACCAGATGAAAGTTTGCCGTTTTACTTATAGCCCAGATGAAAGTGTGGCGCTTTAAACATAGCACAGATGCCAGTTTGGCATTTTAAACATAGCCCAGATAAAAACATGGCGTTTTAAACATAGACCAGATTAAAGTTTGGCGTTTAACTTTTAGCCCAGGTGAAAGTTTGGCGTTTTATTTATAGCCCAGATGAAAGTTCGGCGTTTTATTTATAGCCCAGATGAAAGTTTGGCGTTTAACTCATTGCCCAGTTGACAGTGTGGCGTTCTACTTATAGACCAGATGAAAAGTTGGCGTTTTAAACATAGACCAGATGAAAGTTTGCCGTTTTACTTATAGCCCAGATGAAAGTGTGGCGCTTTAAACATAGCACAGATGCAAGTTTGGCATTTTAAACATAGCCCAGATGAAAACATGGCGTTTTAAACATAGACCAGATGAAAGTTTGGCGTTTAACTTTTAGCCCAGGTGAAAGTTTGGCGTTTTATTTATAGCCCAGATGAAAGTTTGGCGGTTTTTTTATAGCCCAGATGAAAGTTTGGCGTTTTACGTATAGCCCAGGTGAAAGTTTGGCGTTTTATTTATAGCCCAGATGAAAGTTTGGCGTTTTACTTATAGCCCAGGTGAAAGTTTGGCGTTTTAAACCTAGCACAGATAAAAGTTTGGTGTTTTTAACATAATCCAGATGAACATTTTGCGTATTAATTATAGCCCAGATGAAAGTTTGGCGTTCTACTTATAATAAGAATAATAATTGGAGGTTGTTATATACCGCTTTATCACAAACTAGTTCGTAGGTCGCCTCAAAGCGGTTCACAAATTATTATCCGTGGTTATAGGTTCTTTGCAACCAGCCAATACATTTCTAAACTCCCTTGGGAGCATACAGACGAAGCTGCCATTTCGGCGCTAATAGCTAGCATTCAACAATTCTAGCACTACCCAACCACGTACTCATTTACAGCTGAGTAGGCTGGAACAAGCGGAGTAAATTATCTTGCTCAAGGATACAACACATTGCCGTGCCGTGGCGCGACCCCGCAACCCTTCGGTCACGAGCCCGGCGTCCTACCACTGGACTACCGTGTCTCCGTATAGGCAAGATGAAAAGTTGGCGTTTTAAACATAGACCCGATAAAAGTTTGGCGCTAACTTTTCATTAGTCATTTACTTCATTATGCATGGTCAACTAACCCCACACTTGCTAGAAAGAATTGGCAACAAAACATCGTGCAGAGTTCAGGCGTTGTTTGTTTGTTGGGGGCTCCACCTCCTTTTTTAGGGGAGGGGGGAGGGGGAGGGGGGAGACGGGGGATGAATGGGGAGAGGGTTGCTTAAATAGTGTTTTCCGTGTGTTATGTTAACGTTTATGTCCTCTTGTACTTGTTTAGGAGCGCTATAATATATATTAGTATTTGTTGTATGTCATATGTTGGTGTAACAGATAGGGTCGAATAAACGTATTTAGTATATCTACATGATAATAAACACATTAAATTATCTATATAACAAACTTATGGTAATCCAACTGTAATTTTATTAAGTTTGATAGGATTACACAGCAGGAATGTTTAATAGTAGTTGATTTCTGTGAGGTCATGACAGTTTATCGATCTAATTGATAACTAAATGACATAACAAATGACAAATGTATGACGTCCTAATTTCAGAATGATTGCCGATAAGATACTGAACACTGTTTCATCAGGTCAATTAGGATTTAGAACAAAAAAGTAGGTATAGAACTAGAGGGCACTAGGTTGAACTCAATAGATCAGTTATTGGTGTAAAACTATGTATAATTTAATGATATGATCGTCTCTCTTTTAAAAAATAAAGAAATATATATGTGAAGGTTATTGTTCTTTAATCATAAAGTGATTGATGCATACATGTTTAAAGTCGATGCAATAAATTGGTAAACTAACAAAAACAAAGATAAATCATGTTTGTGTTTGATAATATTGAAAAAATAATACAAACAAAATGATTACCTACAAAAATAACGATTTTATTCAGCATATGGCTACATCAAACACACCAATGTAATTTAAAGAGCTAAATGTATGAGCATAACGAAAATACGGTAGATGGTGATGGAAAGTTATAATTGATATTTACAACTCGTATAAAATTTCGCTTAGAATAATAAGAAGATATTATTTGATACACAAAGACGAAAACCAGCAGGTATAATTTTATTGTAAATCTTTTTTCTTCTATTTTGCGAGTTTACTTTCGTGTTTAAGAGCTTTTCTTGTTCATCATAAAAGATCGCAAATTCAGATTTTTCAATAATATTAGTTTGAACAACTTAAACAAGGCAAAACGTCTTTTTATTTTGATGGTTTAATGCCGACCTGAAATAGCCACGTAAGGTAGAGTGTACCGTCATGTTTCTACTGAAAACAAGCCTAAGGATGTTTTGTTTCTATTACATAGTTATGTACTACGTTCTATATTCATACAAAGACAAAAGGGCGGGCCCTGTTTTGGAGCTAGAACATTTTGAAACTATTTACAGTGGTGTTACAGAAAAATATTTACGCAACAAATATCAGTGGATATCATTAAAACCTGGACACAGCTAAGACAGGCGTTTAAACAGTCAGTATTCATTTACACGCTTCATAGTGAACCCATCAGTGAAAGATACAGTCACGAATACATTTTATTTTAAGATGCACCTTTGGTTAAAAAAAAATAAAAAAAATCTCAAAATATTTTTCATTGTATCGGACATTAATAAATACAATGACTATATTCATTCTCAGTCAAATAACTCAAAATACTGCGTTTCTTTTTAAAAATAGAACTTAATATTGTCAAGGTTAGAAGTTTATTAAATGAAACATGTATTAAAGGTATCTAATAACAGAGATAACCGTAATGGCACTTTACAGTTAATATGACGTGATCGGTATCGGTATATTCTTGTAATTTGTCGTCATAAATTATATATGAAACATGATAAAACAAACAAACATATCCTGACATCATGCATTCCACGTTGACAAATGGAATTTTAATGTCACATTATATTTCCTATCGGGGTTTGTCGTATGCCTGCATTGCTTCATTAATAGAATTGATGAAATTCACGCTTAAAACATTTTTTCTTTTTTAGCCAAAACACGTTGTATCCTGTTAACACATAGATACACACGCAAACAAGAGATGTATATATATCGAATAGAGATTATCTGGTATCAGTTGCAAGTACAGTTACTCCATCATTTGATTGTAATAAAGCCAATATGGATATATCAAATCTGAGTATTGTAAAACGCAACGCTTCTTTACTACTCTACAGGAGTGACACATATTTTATTCAATTATTTAATAATTGAATTTAATAAAAACCTCATATAACATCTTATAAACTCTAAACCATATTTTTCATGTAATATCAAAGCCTTACTTTCTACACAAGCAATGTACGTATTAAACGTGTCGCAACGTTTAAAGACCGACTGGTCCATTTGTCAAGCGTTGACTGAGCGATTTGTATTTGTCACCACTACAACGTTGTGGCGAAATTGTATATCTTTATGTAGCTCGACCCGGAAGCGTATACACACTGCATCAGATAGGTTACATGTATCGGTGTCATCACCAAATACGACATGCATCTCAATAACAAATATTGTAATATAAATGTGTAATCAATATTTATATAAATCAAGATATTGAATAAAACAATACTGACACAGCAAACAAATCAATCAATGGATACAAAAATGCAGCATGAACTTTGTACAACATATTCTATTTAACTTAAAACCTATAAAAAGGGAAGATATCAAAAGGAAACAACATCGACTTTGTTTTTTTAGTGGGAGGGGGGGGGGGGGGGGGCTTCCTCAATCATCTTGAAGCAAGATTTATTCTAGTAATCACACCTTTACGGCTTGGACATTTTTCATCAAAATAAATCGCCCATTACAGCATTGCCGTCACCGGCGAACATAGTACTCAGGATAACACCTTTATAAATGCGAGATAACTTGACCGCCGCAAGCAAAAAAAATGATTATGAAAAAGAAAGGTATGCAATTTAGTGAAAATATACTATAACAATACTTTCTAAAATGGGTTAAAAATACAGCGAACCGAGAAGTAAGCCACACGCCATGAATCCCTTACTTAATAATCAAATCGTATACAATCGATATATAAGATTATAATAAACAAAATGAACACAGAGGATGATATCACAAAATAAACATATGATACGAACGTATAACAATACTCAATGGTCTAATAAAAGCTACAAAATAACCACAGCACATAATGACGAACACAATAGGTATCAAACTGGCACTTAAAATAAAAATAAAACCTGTACAAAAATAATTCTATACAAATTCAGTACCACTACGTAAACGAATATTGCCTTATATGTCAGCTATTATAAATTCATGTCCTATTTACATAAGTCGCGAAGTGGAAATACTCGCATTTGGTAATACTGCAATGCATCTTTTTGTGTGTATTACTGCCTTTTTCCAGCTATGGTCATTTAAGGACGCACCAGGTTTTGGTGGAGGAAAGCCAGTGTTCCCGAAGATAAACCACCAAACTACGGTCAGTACCAGACGACTGCCTCACGTAGGTTTCGAACTCACGACCCAGTGGTGGAGGGCTAGTGGTAGCAGAATGTCAAACGCCTTAACCACTTGGCCACGGCGGCCACTCTGACGAACAAACATCAGGAAAAACATTAACCCCCACAAAAAAGATACTCGTGGAAACACACGTGTCCTGCACCACAAATGACACCCATCATGATATCGTTTGCGACATATAGGACCTTCTGTAGGTCATCAGTTATCCAAGAAAGAGTGACCACTTCCATTGAAAAAGATAATGCCATACCAACTGTTAAGTCGCTTAGCAGGGGCAAATGGTTCCTCACTGCTCCGACTGGACAGCTAGGTAGCGTAAAACCAAGGCAATCTTCTTCTGTTTCATGTTCTTGATAAATAAAATGATAAAGTTGTTCCCAAATTAGCCTGATTTCAGGCAAAACATCGATATATTTAAATATGAAAGTGAAACATCAAGCAAATGTTATATCTCTTTCTTTAATAGGTATTGATGGTCATCGTCATCGTCACCAGTATACAACAGTGTATCCGTATATTGTCCTTACAATTTCAACAAATTTGAAGCCTGCATGCAAAAGATGTAATAATGTACTTCTTTATCAGTGAAATGTATTATACCAATATTGTGATATTGAACAAAATATGTATAGGAAATGGTTCTTATTCCAGTACCGATCAATGATTGGTTTTTACATCCTGTATCTGATGTCTACGGGATAGCTTATGCTGTCCATAAAACCCGAGAACTTTCCTAGATAAAAAAAACCCATATATATTTCAAACATATATGTTATAAAGGATTATTTTCTGAATGACAACTAACTGAAAACTAAGCAAAATCATTTTTCGTCACACCTAATGGTGTATTATTTCTATAACAGGAGTTAAGAATCGGAAAGAGACAAACAGTGAAACATGGCATCCATTTTGACACCTATTTATCTAACACTCTGATATAAAAAAAAAAACTAGTATTGATATATAAATATATATATATATATATATCTTGTATCAGCATAATGTCATGCATCAGTGCTGGAACCATTCCACTTATGAAAGAGAAACAATAGCCATAACACGCAAGCAATACGTAATCACCCTTTTTATGGAATACAGCCACAGCATATTGCTCAATGAACAGGCCAACAATGCACCAATACTCAGGTAGAGCTCTCTGTCGTTTAACATCTTCGCAACGCTCACGTTATATCACATCTGCATAATGCAGATATAAACGCTATCGAACAGAAGTAAGTTGAAGTGACTGGAAAACCCATAATTCGCTTTGTTCCAATAACCTTTGAGTTAACCGGTTTTATCCAGGAATTGTCTGTCTCTACACACGCCTCCTTGTCAATTGTCAGGGTGTAGATTGTATGGAGAAGTATCATGAATACAATACAATGCATGTAACCGGTTATCATTGCAAGCTTTGAGCAGAAGTAGAATGCTAACGGATTATATCAAAGTGCATATGATCCATCGTTCTTGCGCAGTGATGCCGACTTTGTCGAGGAGAGCATGGGCGCCTTCTTGCTGATATGCACTAATTTTTTATATTCATTTCGAACCTGCAATACACAAATACAATGTTTTATTTTAGATCCGAATCAAATTTGACGAACACAAATACAAAAAGCGAGATATCAAAGAGAAAAGGCAGTATAATGTACATGTATTCTATTATTGAGTTTTTAAATACAGTTATTCTCTTTGACGAAAGACTTTCTAATCACATCAGAGATCAAGTGATTTCGGTTACCTTTTTATTGAGTAGACAGTGGAAAATGAAGATGAAAAGTCCTTGGAGACTGTTTAGCACTGTAAATATGTAAGCCATGGTGACAGTCTCCTCATTAAGGAAGAAATAACCAAACACCCAGGTCAGACCAAGAAGAACTTCAAGAGCGAATGCTCCCTGGATCCAGGCTCTGAAACACAACCTCTAAATATAACACTGGGTTTGTCAAAGTGGATGATGAACAGCTTCTTTTTATCCAATATTATGTGAATCAATTACCAAAAAAACAAAGGCCAAAACTAAAACTTACTTGAAATTTCCAGCATTTGCCTTTTCTCTGGAAAATACGTAATCGGAATGGCGGCATACCGTGCTCATTGCATAGGTCAAAATTCCAGCATTCACCTGTACAACAAAGATTAAATGCGTAAAACAATTTATCACATGTGTAGAACAATAAAACGATGATAAAATGGGAGATGCTTCGTTTTTTCATGGCTCCTCGAATTTTGTGTTTTCTGAAGAAATGCGGCTAGAAAGACTAGATTATTTTGATTTTAAATATATAAAATATGCATTGTTATTGTTTATTTCACAAATCCAGGATGTCGGCTACACATCTCAATCAAGCAATGCAAGAAAATAACTATAATATATAACTTATGGAGGACAGAAGTGTTCAACCATTGGGTACATCGGCAAGCCTCGCTTTTTATCCCAACGTCTGTACCCTCGTGTTACATATGATATAGTTATATGATCATATTGGTTCAGAAGGGAAACAAAGTTGACAACACTAATCATTTATCTTTTCAGAAAGTAAGTCAAGTATGAAGTCACACGCCAGCATACAAGTAATTATTTCCTTTCAACCAAATCGTTTGTAACCGGACAGAACCCAACCACGAACGAATTGTTCAATGTTTTCGGGTGTTTTACTAATTGTGTCTAAAAGTGAGTTCGCATTAAGCTATGTACATCAAATCAGTTAATAAATACAGTATCAAACATTTCGGTCTGAGCATAGTGGGCGAGACACTAGTATTACTCACCAAAAGGACCGTGGCGACTGGTCCTGCAAAACTCCAAATGAAAAATCGGTCCGTTGTCAGCCAGCAACTACAGAATAAAAAAACATGAAACGATTCAAAACACGTACTATATAATTTGTTGTGAATTTCATACTGATTCAGTGTATCAGAGGCATCAAAAACTTTCTTTTTGGACAGAACGCAAAAAACCTTTACAAGGAGAAATGAGGATGTGGTAATTTAGGTAAAACATTCGTTAAACAGTTTTAATTTCAAGGGAAAATCACAAACCTTTGGAACAAATGAAAAAAAGGCAACAAAATATCAACTGAATACACAAATCATCGAACAGTTTGGAGTTCAATTATTTTTCTAAATCATTTGCTTATATCATTGAACGGGATCCACCACAGCTATTTCGCTTTAGTCACGGGTACTTACTATTGAGGCGTGCCATAGGCTGTGAAGTCTATCCCGGCAGTAGTAGCTACTATCACGATGGGTATACCTACGCAGCAGAAATAAACTCGCATCAGGTATCTAACATTAATCACCGAAGGAAAGGGTTGTATTTTTCAATAATAACTCCTCCCAGATTGATTTTAAAACCAGTGCAGAAAAATGTTCTTCAACGTCTGTGATGTTCGATATAAAATCATTTCAGCTTCTGTTCAGTGAATATGCGATTTTGAATGAAGTAACCCAATTAAATACCCCATTCCAGCAAGTTTGCTTAATCAATGTTAAAAAAAGGTCAATATACCAGGAAAAAACTCGTAATTTTGAACGTAATTGTTTTTCCATTATATATTTGCTATTTGTTTCAAGTGAAAACTCAGTAAATGGTTGTGTTTTAAAGGTCCACAGAAATTTGCGCTCATTACTGATTTAGCTACATGTAATCACCCTTTGAACAACTAGGCCGTGAGCATATACATGTACCTTGTAATACATAATGCTTCTAATGACTGGCTCTAAATTTAATATTAGATAAAAAAAAATATCCTAACTTGTTGGATCATCAACACATAGAGGTCTGTATTTTGTGATATTGTGTTACTATTTTTAGAAACAACCTAACAATATTATTTAATTGACAAAACCTCAATTGTGAAGTCAACTGCTCTCTGCCCAACGCAGTACTTTGTCTCTTCGCGATTTGTTCGAGTTTCTCCTTTTCCAATGATAAAATAATCATTATTTCAAATTTTATTTGAAAATTAAAACAGCCTGTTCATGTGAAAATGTGTTTATACAACCACAAAAAAGCGATATTAACAGGCACGTATTCGAAGTCTGTAAGAATTTTTCAGTTTTTTTAAATTACATAATTATTCACCTCAATAAAAGTCCTTTGTTGACAATTTACATCACTGATTATATAATGTACCTACCGTATCCTGCAAGATAGAAGTACTTGAGGTTTGACTTGGCCGTGTCGAAAACCTGAACCAGCATGATGACGATCTGAACAGCCTCCATCAACATCCAGGTGAAAGCGGAAAGGAAGAAGAAGTGCAACAGAAGGGCGATAACTGCACAGGACACCTGCAGATAATTAACAGACAGAGGCTCGTGACAGGTATTGAGTAACAGTAAATCCAGATACCAGGCACGATGTGTGTTATGGTTACAATTAGTAGATTTATAAAGATTTTATCAAACGTAATAGTAACGAAATGATAATTTATTCAAGTTAAAATAATGAGTAAATTGTCCTTATCAAGGTTCAACAAGCCCCCTAAAATATAACCCTCTGGTTAGTCATACTCAAAGACCCTTATCAAAAATCGGAGTTATATGTTATTTAAACACATTGAACTTGGACATTAAATATTAAAAAAGTACATAACCAGGTAAACGTAGTCAATAAATAATAAGGCATTAAGGCTATTGTCTCCATAGAAATAGCTCATCGGACTTATAACATGTCAATCTCTTTTGCGACCGAACTGAATGCTACGAAATAACATATTATATTAAGTTCATGGATATACCTAGGTCATGCACAGCTTAATTTGAGGTCTTTGATAATGACTTATCAGTAGATTGAAATTTAGGGTGACTACAGCATCTATTAGGGGGCTTGTTGAACCTTAAATCACAAACTTAAAATACAAGACTTTTTAACTTTCGACGTGGAAGACATTTTCGAAGATAATTGTCCTACCAGACGTACGTACACTGATATGTCAATATTATAAACGGAAAATATGGAAAATAAAACGCGTTAATTTTCCTTTTAACAAAATCATGATATTACCAAACTAGCTTGATATACAGCGTGTCTGTTGTGACTGGTACGTTGTATGTGCGTGTACATATGATTCTAGTCAATGCAGTAAAAAGAGAAGATGGTCAAGCAGTCATACCTGTTTATCAGTCTGGTCAATACCAACAAGGAAGGTCAACTCGGCGGCAAACAGGCAAAACACTAGGTTTTTGTGGATGGAATTCCTCTCACTCTGCAGTGGGCTGGTATAACACAATTACTATTAGGTTATACATCGGAAACAAATGTATTTTCATACATTGCATCGGCACTGACTTGCATGGAATATCTCTATAGGGGAGAGTATCCCCATATGTTACCAAGTGTATTAGACAAAAGACTTATAATGAAAGGAAAATATGAACAATAAAAATAGCATTACATGTGAAATATAAGGAAAAGCAAATCCCTTGGGCCCGCCAGATGGATATACGAAACAGCTGAATGCATGGTTTTGCGTATACAGTATGATAACATGCGAAAGTTTAATGAACCAAAATCAAATATTAGGCCCCAGACTACCTAAGACATCTGAACAGTAGGCCGTACACAATTGAATGGTAGGCCTTACACTGCACATATCCGCGACACTTGAATATCCAACTTTATGTATATCTTGCATATCGAACTATATACACTATGTAGATTTGAGATAGCTGAATGGCATAGCTTGAATTATATGTATACCTGAGACAGTTGAATGTAAGCCAGCTCGTGAAGAGGCTGATCAGAGAAATGATGCACCCGGCATACGTGATGTACCGCAGGATGGAGTGGTGACGACTGGACATCTGTATAAACACAAGCTCCATCATGACACAAGACTTTACTGTAATGGCAAATATATTAAAGAATGTTTTCGAAAACAATTAAGAAACAGCAACCCAATTACAAGCTGCATTATCGTAATCGTAATAATTTGAGTCTCTGAGCAAACATCCTAACGATATCATTTTTGTTTGAAACCCTGGTCAATCACAATAGTTTTCCGACATGTCACCTCTGAATACCCACGTATCCTCGTGTGGGCCAATCATCTGTGGACGCCATCCTCTTATGACCAAAGTTGCTGCTAAGACGCAAGACTTTGAACAAACTATTAAATTGCGAATGTGTTGAGGAGGTGGCAAACATGCAGTATTATGTTTTATGTCAATTTAGGTTGAAAATTCATTGTAAAATACATACCGCCACACCAGATACGTCCAGCAAAATGGCGAAGCTTGTAAGGTGGTTACACTGACATGTGACACGATACGGGGTCATGTTTGATACGTCACATCCGGCCTGGGACCAGCTTCCCGATTCCCTAATAGACGACAATTACATCTTGAAACATAATAACCAATTATTGTTTTATTGTTGTCCAACAATATGATAGTGTGAAGTAACCAAACATAACCGATATTTAGAATTCGCAAGAATACAAAACTCACCCCTCCGAAAAATTCCAGAATGAGCAAAGTGGAACGGACTCAACATCGATTCGCTGAAAAGCAAAACTAAAGTTTCATACACTCATTTAAAATGCGTAACAGACATTTCCAAAACTAAAAAACTTTGTGAATACAAAAACAAATAGTTATAACATTTTTATGAAATCCTTTTTTTTCTATATATACAATAGTACAAATATTGATTAAGCATTTATCACCATAAGCGATTTTGTACTAAAACATGTTCTGAAGAGTCTGTTCTCCAGCCGGCATATTGATGAAAGAATTATTTTACAGGCAGCAGACCACAACGTTCAACTACCAAACAGCAAGATGTGCTATCGAAACAGTTAACACTTCATACCACGTACCTGTAGCAGTTTGAGTGAAAATGTGACAGGCTGGCTAAGTTTACTAGTGTCGGCGTGGCCGACAGACACGCTGATGACGTTACTGGCTATCTGTTGGGTCACGCTAGACTCGTTCTCAGCCACCAGAAATTCGCCAATGTCGGAATGTTTCATAAAGACAACTTTTGACAGGCCATCTGTTAAAAGAAACCAGATTAGTGATAATAACACAGCAGTCTTAAATATGGTAACTACAAACTTTCATCAAAACATATTGCATGAACAATGATTTACAGGTCAATAACAACATGTACATTGCCATTTCAGAACTGAGTGGCTCACCACAGACTACACATGGGTACAAAGCCTGACAGATTGAAGAAAAAGGAATCGGTATACTGTATCCCACGTCATAATCTGCTAACGGGACAAGGAAGATCTATCTTACCGACTTAAATATTTCAGACAATCAACATTTCCTTTTTATTCATGTTTCTGCGATATTTTAAGTCCTTTCTCATTATATTGAAGAGGCCATCAACAGTTGTCCTTTTCCATCGGTTCGCTGCGTAAGACGCATTAGTTAGATTTAGCGTTGAGCTCCATATCATCATACTCTATATTTCGATACATAACTCGGCGTACACCATCAACAAATCAAATGTAGATATCTATGGCCTATGTTTTCCGCTTTGGCTTTGGTTGGATTTGCAATTATCATCATTACTTTGCGGTTAGCTCGTTTTCTTTCGTTACAATGTAGACCATGCATTTACCTCCATTTCCAGGAAAGAAGGAACAAGGTTATGTGTAGGTTTTATCAAATAGTTTTAATGTTCTATACAGTATTTCTCTGTCTAGTCTTAGCTACATGAACTTTTTACTTCTTGTTTTTATGTAGATTCGACGTCATGAATATTAATTATAATGACAAACAGTTGTTAAGGTGTTATGATTAACGAAATAACTTATAATCTGAAAAGGCAAATAGGGTAAGCTTTACTTGGTACCTGATGGTCGTGAATTTGTTATACTAATTGATAATGACTTTAAAAGACATGTCGTACTTTGTTGACACCTTAGTGTACATCTATTTAACTGCTGATTGTGACATAGTACATATCATACAAGCCATGATACGTCACACAAAAGCATAGTATTGACTGTGCTTTATACACCTGTACATGATATAAATGTTTCAAAATAGTGCTTTCCGGTCCTTCTTCGAACTTATAACTGGTGTTTTTTTTGACATTTCAACTCAAAATCAATATAAAATTGAATCAAGTATGTTGTGCTATCCCAGTAGTTTATCAAGAGTGATTTCTCCTTACCTGTGCTGAGTGATTTCCACTTATCTGTGCTGAGTAATTTCTCCTTACCTGTGCTGAGTGATTTCTCCTAACCTGTGCTGAGTGATTTCCCCTTATCTGTGCTGAGTGATTTCCCCTTACCTGTGCTGAGTGATTTCCCCTTACCTGTGCTGAGTGATTTCCCCTTACCTGTGCTGATTTGCTGTAGTACGGAAGCCGGTATGGACACCTTGTCGCCGTCTTCCACGCCGTCCTTACCCTCATCGCCACCGTAGACCAGGGCCTCCGACACGTCGCTTGTGTTGACGACGTATAACTCCAATTCTTCAAGTACAAAGACATCGATGAGGTGTTCACACACATATATTGGTGAGTACGCATTGATGAGTCAATTTATGCTGCAAACATTTACTGAGGCGTCAATATAGAATCAGTACACGTATACTGATGAGTCAGTTTACACCTGTATGTACACAAATGAGCGCGAGTCAAAACGTCCTGCACTTACTGGGGCATCAACATTCATTCACAAGTCGGTAAACACATATTGGTGGGCCATACACTATTACAAACGCGTCCTTTACGGTACGAACGAGTGTTAATTTGCTGGAGGTTGAACTTTGAAATCTTGTGGCATCAAAACACCAATTTGAAAAACCAGTAAACAAGCCGAAATAACTACTTATTTCTTGTGATTTAAAGTAAGCAGTACACAAATTACTGTGTCGCTACACGCATACAAAGGCGGGAATATCATTACTGATGTTTTTTGTCGACTTCTAGCAAGCAATTTACCTATTTTGCTATTGTCTTCTAATGTCACTGTTAAACTTAATTATGATTCTTTGAATTTAGTTTGTCTATTTTCAAAATGTCATTACCTAATTTGTCGCTGGAAGTTTTGATGACGATTGGGACTTGAATCGCTTCCGCCATTGATGTTGTGCTGTCCTCCATTGCGGACAGGATGCTGGCGGCCGCTCGACGTTTGTCTGTCCGTCGCACGTCTGCAGACCTTTCAGTGTTAGCCACCAGATTACTACCAGCCTTGACCAGTTCCTACAGTGGTCAACGCAGACAGATCAAAACATAACTCAAAACAGATTTCACATTTCACATATTTATATAGACCGTATAGAGGCAAATAATGCAATGAGCAATTCAAGATTCAACATAACGAAAGCGGAGATGACGTAAGGCTACAAGGACACATATGAAAGCTTACCTTGACCAAAGTAACCGCTTGGACTGTCGACTTCGGCTGGACATTGGTCACTTTTCTGAGAATCGTCGTCGAGATAGAGATATCTGCCACGGACATAGGTTTGGAGACATCCGTTTTCCGCACCAAGTCCCTGGCGATATTTATTGCTTCCTTCGTGACAATCGGGGATTTGTCCGGCTTTCCGGATGAAACCTGCAAATGGACAAAATATTACATTGTTCTTTATGCCTCTGTCACACTTGACCGGATTGAGCCTCCGAACTTGCAACGGATGACATATTTTTGTATCCGGTGATGTTCGTCAATATTCGTTTTATGTCAGTTTTATGTTCGGAACATTCGTTTCATGTCAGGTAATGTGCGATGCGTCCGCCTGCATCCGTTAGAAAGTTTTGTGCATGCACAAAAATTGAAACGGATTGTGACGAACAAGAATATTCGTTGGTTGTCCCGTGCATGTCCGTTTTGTTCTGTATATCTCCTGTCATTGTTACCATTCATTCGTTTATATGCTGTAGGTGTACGGGGGGATACGTTGTCCAGTCCGTAGATGGAACGTGAACGCATACGCCACGCATTAACCGGACCTTAAAGGCCAAGGACGACCTAGTTTAAAATCCCACCGGACAGCAATTAAGGAGGGGGAGGAGGGAGGCGGGGCTTATCTACAGCATGGGTTGCTAGGGCCACATACATACCATACACACTCATAAAAAGGGGATGTAAACAAATCAGAGTCTGAAACCAATGGCAAACGGTAAATCAATTTTCTCACCTTTTGCACATCTGCAAATCAAGCTTCCTTTACAAAGATGTCCTAAATCATAGGTCCAATATTACAGTGTCATTGTTCATATTATGTTCAATGTAAGCAAATAAGTAAATAATTTACAGGTATAACATATAGTTGATTGTATGCACTCAGTACTGATATAATGAGTCTACGAAGCGTTTCCAAATGTTAGTTCTGTAATAGTAGATTGGTTCCTTGTACACCTTTTTCCCTCTAGAAGACCTCCAAGCATTTGGTACACGGGGTTTTGAAACAGAAGTATATTTCCTATCCACATTGTCGTTCCAGTGCAGTACAGCCAACTGTGATCTCACAAGATACTGATCGTCACTAAATGATATCCTCTTATCTTGAAATATGTTCATTACATTATTGAAACTTTCCACATAGAAAGTGTCCCTAACTAAGATGGCTAAGGTTTATTTTTTCAATTTCCCCACATGTCACCCCAATTTTGGGAACTTGATATATTGCATAATTCTCCCTCTGGCCATGGGGCAGTATGAATCTCTCACAGTATCAGGTTATCAGCCCCTCACTGAGTTTTCAGCCAGCATGGGGGAAGGAGAAAGATTTTCTGTGACCTTGGTTGTAAATGAGGAACAAAGAAATGCTATTAGCCAACTTTTCCAGGAGAAACATTGGGAATATTCAGAGAAAAATAATGAGGGAGATTGTCAAGAAGAAAGTGCTAGTATGACCCCTGATACAAGTAACCAAGTAACCTGTTCTGGATTTACTATCCCCCAGGATACCGACTCAGATGAATGCCAGTATTGTTTATGCAGACCTTGTATTACAAACGAGAGAAATAAACAACAGTGGTGGGAATTAAGAGAAAATCCCCAAAACAGGAAAAATAACATTCATAGGAAAGAATTATACAAAAGATTTTGGACCATGTTATATCACAGAGGAGCATGGGGTGATCAGCGATATCAGGATAAAAAGAAGCAAGCTCTGGGAATTCAGACAATGGGAGGAGAACCTGTGTGGCATAGGCGGGATATAATGCCAGACTGTGTGATAAAACTGGTCAGATTCTGGTTTCCTAACCCTGATAGTATGGAATATATGGGTCATTTGTGGGAATAGATCTATATTATGTATTTGTTTCGGGGAGTGAGTGTAATATGTTTATGACGGTGGTAATTGGATTAGCATTCCTGTGTATGTGCCTAAGGGATCCAGTTTCTTGACATTGCCGCCAAATGTTGATAAGGTAGGGGTTTTTGTTTACTCAGCATGCGTAGCTAGGACCATAGCAACAACACAGTTGTAAACTTCCGCTATCAATTTCCGGTAAGGCCAACCGGCAATTTCAAATTTGACTGACAGCTTAGAAATTGTAACAGAAAAAAATAAAAATAGGAAATCAAATTAATAAGAATTTTGTTAAGAAAATGATAACCACATTCAGATTCCTCACAAAAAAATATGTAGCCATGACAAAATCTGTGTCAGACCTTTTATTGAAAAACATGAATTTGAAGAAATTCTTTCTCTGAAGTGAAGGCAGTCAGATTTTTGCATTTCCTCCATTTTCCCGAGTTGTCTCCCTTTTATACCCCACCCTTGGCCTTTAAGCTAACACCTAACGGACAAACACAGGATGCCTGCAGGATTAACACCGGATACGACGAATAGACAAACGAATTGGAAAACGGATAAAACGTACAGAACTGATGAATTCAGAATACCTACAGAATACCTGCAGGATAACTACAGGGGGAGGAACTGACTACCGACAGAACTTGATCATCCCAGGGCATATAAAAAGGTTCTTGGAAGCTTCCAAATCAGATTCACAGATAGTTTTCCAGCATCACCATGGATTGTCAGGCTAGAGTTTCCCTGCAGTTTAGGGCCGCCTTACTGCAGGCAGAAATGCATATGAACAATGTTCAGATGGACCTTCAGCAGTATCTTTCCCACAAGAGACGAAGCACCAGGGCCTCTTCCTCCTCATCTTTCAGATGGCAACTTTTCTTGGCCCTCTTCTTGGCAGTCTGTCGCCCAGCTTCTTCAAAAACTTCTCCAACTTCACCTGCACCATCACCTATCTCTTCGCCACCTTCAACTGCAACAGGCACGTCATCACCACCTTCATCATGCTGAGTTTGTATTTCCTCAGTTTTTCTTGTGTAGTTTATTGTGCCACAGCATGCATTTCAGCATCAACAGCCACCTCTTCTGTCTCTTTTTATTTTCCAGGCACATTCTTCATGTTCGTCTTTGCTTTCCTTCCACGAGGCATTGTGGAGATGCAGTCAGCTGTGCAACTTTTCGAAAACCGGTCCGCTGGTTAAATGCGTTCGCAAATACACCTTGTTGTTTCCTGCACGCACCCGTTGATGTCCGTTATGTGTTCGGTTTGTCCGGAATGCATCCTGTACGCGTCCTGATTGGCCGGTTTATGTTCGTTTGTTGTTCGTCACTCATTCGGAGACACTTGGCTGGTTGTGCGTTACATGTTCGATACCGGTACGTTTCAACCGTTCCATGTTCGGTGCAAGTACGTCCGTAGTTTGGGTTTTTCTACCGGACTGACCACTTTGCCACCGGATAACAAAAATTCCTATACGTTGATGTACGGAACCCCAATCCGGTCAAGTGTGACAGAGGCATTACTATTTCTAGGGACTAGTGGTATATGCAACTTCTGTGTAGCCTGACTGTTTTGTTAGACCTAGCATATACAATTATAATAAGGAAATGTTTATCGGAGAATGATATTTTAATACAATAAAAAAATTGACAAGGCGAGGTTTACCAACCTTGAAAGCGAGACTATAGACATTGAACACGAGACATCCCGCAACTGAACATGATACAACCAACACTGAACGATAGACTACTAACATTGAACGGCAGACATTCACATTGAACAATTGAAACGAGTTTCGAGCACTGATGATTGTATGAACACTGGAAACAAGAAATAAAAGGCTAGTCCATTTACATTGAACAGGAGCGCACGAACATTTAACTCGTGTGCATGAACATCAGGGTCTTTTAGCGTTAAATATATCAGCACTGAACACGCAAGTCTATGCTTATTGATTATGAACCTACCAATGCTGAAGACTGGTTCATAAAACATGTACACACAACTCGAGGCTCATGTGTTCTAAACATGAGTTATTGATATATACTCACCCTAAGCATCAGATCTTTGAACTGTTGTGATGCGCATGCTCGTGTGTCCGGTTTCTTTGTCCACCTCACAGGGTTCCGCCCACACTGCCACGTGGCCGTACCTTATGTAAGGAAGATATTTTCGTTTTATTTTAAATTTATCAATTGTATAGATCCTTCATAGGTTTTTTTCAGCTAGGTTCTAAGTTTGTGTTACTTACACTGAATTGAACATCCAAATTTAGATCTAAATGTAACAAGTTAATCGAATTGAAATACATTAAACATTTCTTAGATGGTCACAGCTGCCATAAGCTGTTCCAGCGCGATTAACTCAATATAAATAACGCAGGTATCAACGATTCTAAAGAAGTTATAATAATGCTGATGACCCTCACCTGAACCTTTATCGCAAGGAATTTTCCGACGTTCACCTTGTTTGGTTTCAGGCCAAACTAATCCATAAGCCACACGTCTTGGACAATGAGTGGTATGTCTCGGTGCTGGTATCTTTGTGCTTCTATCATTACTTATCGGGTATTCATAATCGGGCAACTTGGTTGTAGACATGGATATTGACATTTCCGTTGATTCATTGTCCTCAGCAATGTTTGAAACTGTAGACAGCATTTTCGGTGTTACTGTGACAAATGGTTTTGTTTTTGAAACTGGAATTTCGTATAAATCAGTAGTTTCCGCAGTATCTGGTGTCTCTGATGTTGGTAATAATTCAGAACTTTCAGTAGGCCTATTAATCGTTGTCATTTTCGTTTTCGGACTTTCGGTAGATGTAGTTTTTGTTACAGCCCTGGCAGTTGTAACGCTAGTGGTAGCGGAAGTGGTAGCGGAAGTGGTAGCAGAAGTGGTCGCAGTGGTCGTCTGTTTCCGGGTGGTGGTCAATGGAACAGATGTAGTCGACGGCGTGGGCGGAGGGGTAACTAGAAGAGAACAGGGCTTTGGAATAGGGTTATCCTCTCATACTTCCAATGATATAGATTAAAGCATGATACAAAACGTAAACACATTAACATGTACAGTGTATAATATAGCAAGTACTGTAACACAAATACGTAATCCGTTAACTGACCACAAAGTGCCAAACTAATGCATGAAGCTTAGAAATGTAAAACAAACGTTCACACGTATTCATCTTATGTTCTACCGGAGTCAGCCCCTGAACAATATGGTGTCCTCACGCAGGAGGGTTCTCATTCAACATCCATCAGTCAAACTATAAATAAATAAATAGGAAGGGCAATGGGAAAATAAAATATTTGCAAATAGAGTACAGGACAAGAACACAAAACATACTTCTTTCACACCCTAACAAATTCCATATACAACATAATATTACAAACAAGGATAAACATATAGCACGTATACACAAAAAACATAATACATTGAAAATCTGTTACATTGGGCGCCAATGTAACGTAGGTTCTCAATAATAACAATCCACGCCGTTGCAGTTCAATGATATGTTTATTCCGTGGACAATAAACCTATATAATGAATAAACATACATAATCACTCATACATCGCTCAACCTATGTAATAATGGATATATATACAATTGATGAAATATGACGAATGATTATTATGTTTAATTATACACTTTCATCCTTACACACATAAATACTTACCAGGAACGTCCAGAGTAAGGACAATGTGACTGGATTATACTTGACTGGGATTTGGACGGGTGGTCCGTGCTGCACGTGATTCCTGAACACTGCTATTACGCGCGATGGTTTGAATAATGTATTTGAACACCTGGCTACACACATACAAATACACCCCCATATATACATGAGACAGACAGACAGACAGACAGACAGACAAAACATCCAGACATACAGACAGACAGACACACACACACACACACACTGACAGACACACACAGAGACAGACAGACACACAGACAGACTGTACATACATACATGTATACATTGAGACAGACTTACATACATTGAATCAGATGCACCATTATGCAAGCATAATTTCAAGCGGTTGAGAAACAATAGTAAATACACTGCGCAAACAGTGTCAGATGTATATATATATATATATATATATATATATGTGTGTGTGTGTATGACCTTCCTCGCCCTCATGACTGTACTCATCAGCAGCCGTTATCACTTTATACGTCCTCGCCATTGTACTCATCTACTCACTTTTATTCCATTCACAGATATAAAACCGTTGCGTGTTGCATTGTACGTCGTTGAGTCTGCCTCCAATATGAAATTCGGCACAAAACTCGTCCCCTCGTCCATTATTGGGCTCACCCGGACTCCAAGGCCTGGCCAAATAAATGCAAAGAACCTTTGATTTTTGTTAATTTCAAATCAGGTCTGAAGAAGAGTTAACACGTGATAAAATAGTGTATCTACAGTATGTTAGATAGTTCTTACGTGGACCCACTGAACAATACGTTGACGTCACAAATTTAAGTCACATAAAAAAACTTGTTTTTCTGCTAAAACGCTTTGGTTGAATAAAATAACGATAACAAGAATTTAAAACAGATATGGTTTCCATATGATTGTATGGTGTTAATGAACTTCGTTTAAAAACAGTTGTGACGTGATTGTAAATCGACGTTGAATGTATTGTCATGTTAGCATTGGTATGATCTTTACCGTGCAAACTTGGTCCAAGACTCTAATTGTATACATTGTGGCTACCATTGCGATAATGCCTATCACTTCTTCTTTGAATGTCAACCTTACACATATGCTCATACTGTACTTTTTGATCAAATAAATCATTTAAATGTACATTTAACGTTGAGATTATTACTGTTTGGAAATGAAAATCTGGCTTTGGATACAAATTGTGATGTATTCAAACAAGGGCAAACTTTTATTAGATCCAGTAGAAGATTATGACTTTAAAATATGATTTTTTTGTGTATGTGTATTTGTTACTTTAAAAATCGCTTCATACTATTATGAATTGTAATTGACAGTCTATATCACCATCTGTTGTTTTGAATTATTGTTGTAAGGAGATGGCTTTATAAGTTGCAATAACTTGTGTCAAATCCTATTTTCCAATTCTGGTTAATAAAATATGTGTGAAGTCAAGTCAAGCATTGAAAACAACGTGCGCATTTCAAGCATAGACAACAAGCGCTACAGCCTCGCTAGCGTGCTAAGTTCATCAATAGAGTAAGGAAATACATTATTTGTATCACATATTATCTTGAATTTATTATAAACAATTTAATGAGTCTTACAAATAGAAAATTAGAGCTCTAGTCAATGGAATACAGAACTCACGTGACTCTTCCGTTCAGCTCCGCTCCATCCGACCACCGCCAGACGGCGCGACTCTGGTTATGACGTAGACCCACCCACCAACGGTCCTGGTTTGGTTTTCGTATTATATTCGTCAAGTGCTTCATCATCTTCATCTGTTTACAAAATAGCAGAAATTATTTAAATATGTACTAAAACACCGTTATTCTTATTCAACTATTCATATTGGCATGCAAACAGCATTTCTAATAACTAAAACGCATGTACAGAATGTACTTCATATTCAACAGTATATACAAGGAATTCTAATTTTCATCATATCACTCCAAGAAGCTCACAAAGAGATTTTTTCCTAAGTTTGAGATTGCAGTATTCCAGGAAATTATTTAGTGTTTTGTGTGTTTGTACCTTCTCGGCCATGGATCCGATGGAGGCGAGGTTGGCACCCTCCTCTAGGCACATTGCAGTTGCGGAGTCCCACGTGAGGTATTCCTTCACGAACTTGTAGCAGGCCCGATGGACCTTTACCCAGGGTTTCGGGCATTGCAGAGGTCCACTGGTGGTTACTGTCGACAAAATAGTTACATTTAACCCAAGTAAAACTGAATCATTACTAATGTCTAATAAAAATAATCATGAGACATCTCATCCAGATTTGGTATTCTCAAATAGTGTTGTTATAAATGTCAGAAATCATAAACATCTTGGTTTGTTTTTTAATAGTTGTGGATCATGGTCTGATCAAGTTAATTATATATATGAAAATAGCTGTACAAAACTACAAAAAATGCGAATGCTCAAACACAAGCTAGATAGAAAATCTCTCGAAATAATTTATAAATATTTTATAAGACCAACACTAGAATATGCTTGTGCTGTGTGGAATAATTGCACCCAGGGTGAAAGTGACTTATTGGAATCAGTCCAATTAGAATGTCTCAGAATTATATCAGCTTTGAGAAGAGGTACAAGTCATAGCTTAATATATAAGGAAGTTGGTGTAGATAAACTAAAAATAAGACGTGATAATTATCAATGTGTGTTACTTTTTTGAGATACTGCAGCATGACTGTCCTTACCATCTTTATGATTGTATTTTACCCTATCTTAATAATGATATTAATCCTCGCCTTAGACACCAAAGAAACTTTATTGTTCCCTTGTGCAGAACTAACTTGTGTAAAAATAGCTTTTTTCCTAGAATGATGTCTCTATTGAATAGGCCAGAGTGTATTTTTACAAAACTCACTTCATTGAGCCAGCTAAAACTGGAAATACTTAAGGAAAGCACACACGTTTTGCACCCATCTAACTGTACAGATATTTTTTAAATACGATGGCTCCAGGAAGTTGAATATAACATTATGTCAACTACGGAATAAATCAGATTTATATAATGATAATCTTACAGATAACCCTAAGTGTGACTGTGGTTATATTATTCAAGATGCAAATCACTTCTTCCTCAACTGCCCCAAATATATAGATGAAAGACAAGTTATATCTAAATATAACGAAATTGATAACATCATCTTAAATACTGTTACTTTCACTAAGGGTGATATGAACCTTAGCAGTTAATCAAATGCATTTATTCTCTCATGTGTTCTGGAGTATAATGAAAAATCTGGAAGATTTTAACTTAAACTATACAAAAAATATCTTACAATGTGTTTGTATTTGCTATTTTATAACAATAACTCTGGTGTAATTGGGAAGGATGGCACTGTGTATAGAAACAGTGTCTCTGAAGTGCCTCCAACCAAACACTAGGCTATAATACTAATTGAAGTAAATAGAATATAGTAATTGAAATGTATTAAATGGTTCTAGTATTTTCCTATTAATTTAAATATATACTACATCTTCTCTATAATACTCTCTCTCCCTACATATATATGAATGTATGAAATGTGTGTATTTTCTCTGGAAAGGGCTTTTATAGGCAATGCCTGTGCCTAATCCAATTGTGTTTTGAATACAATAAAATCGATTTGAAATGAAAACAATAGTCACATTAAAAAAAACATAACGGATCATAATTAGTTACCAAGATCTGTCAACAAAATCCAAAAAGTGAATAGTTTAAATGTGTAATCTTGTTCATGTCTGCAATTTTCAGCAAAGTCATAATATGCAACGTTCCAGAAAAACACACACCGTGATAATTTGTAATAACTTGTGTCCAATCCATTGTTCGATTTTATTTGCAATAAATATGTTTAAAGTAAAGTTACAACACACCGAGGTACACTGAGAAACAAGTACAAGTAGATATAACCATTGCATTTAGTGTCTGGGACAAGGTAACAGTTTATTTAGGACCTCACTCCGGGTTATGTCATGGCTCTGTTTATGTGGTCGCTGCTGAAAACGATCAACGCATAGGCAGAACCTCCGGCATATACTGTATACTATATATATATCTAGGCAGAACTTCCCACATATACTGTATACGATATATATATATATAGAGTAAAAACATTTTTTTCAGATCGTCCACTAGGCCTTTCTGCCTTCTAGATATATATATAGAATATACAGTATATCCGGGGATCTCTGCCTATATATATATATATCTAGGCAGAACTTCCGGCATATACTGTATACTATATATATATAGCTAGGCAGAACTTCCGGCATATACTGTATACTATAGATATATATCTAGGCAGAACTTCCGGCATATTATTATACTATATATATATCTAGGCAGAACTTCCGGCATATACTGTATACTATATATATATCTAGAAGGCAGAAAGGCCTAGCGGACGATCTGAAAAAAATGTTTTTATTCTATATATATATATATAGTTAGAACTTCCGGCATATACTGTATACTATATATATATAGCTAGGCAGAACTTCCGGCATACACTGTATGCTATAGATACATATCTAGGCAGAACTTCCGGCATATACTGAATACTATATATAGACCTAGGCAGAACTTCCGGCATATACTGAATACTATATATCTATCTAGGCAGAACTTCCGGCATATACTGAATACTATAGATATACATAGGCAGAACTTCCGGCATATACTGACTACTATATATATACCTAGGCAGAACTTCCGGCATAAACTGAATACTTTATATATACTTGTCTCGTTCAACCAGACGCTTGATCACTTGTAATTCAAGAGTCTGGTCAAACACAGTGCTTTAAAATTAACATCACCAGAGGGCAGTGTTTTTACTTTCGTTTCAGGACGTTATGTCAATGTCTTTTAACATTTCAATGAATAATAAAATTAATGAAAACAACTTACCTATACATGCATTTCTGAAGTACCCGTGTATTCACTATTATCGAGAACAATGTAAGAAAATGTATCAACTCTCCAGAATAATATGCCATAATTTCCACTGAATAAATCATAACTAACACAAAGCCAACAAGGCTGACTGAAGTTAGAAAAAAACATGCAAAGCAAGTGAGATTTTACTTGTACACCTTTCAAAACACCTCACTCAGGTAATCTGGCTTTACTTGTATCAATAGCCTTGTTAGCTTAATGAATAATTGTAAAATATCCAATGAAAACACATGAAATCATTCTTTTTGAAGCATTTTTTTTTACACTTTTCTCGTAAATAGTGAATACATGTATTTTTTCATGAATCAAAATATTCAATGTAATTTTGAGCCACTCAAATTCTGACTTCAAAAGTTTAAAAGGGTGTGTCAACCTTTGACCAATGAAAACATTTACCAGAATTCTTGTAAGCCTCGTTATGAGGTCACAAAACGAAAGCACTGTGTTTGACCAGACTCTCTGTTCGGCGTAGCTTGCGCAGGCAACAAGAGTCTGGTTGAACGAGACTATACATATACATAGGCAGAACTTCCGGCATATACTGAATACTATATATATATCTAGGCAGAACTTCCGACATATACTTCATACTATATATATACCTAGGCAGAACTTCCGGCATATACTGAATACTATATATATACCCAGGCAGAACTTCCGGCATATACTGAATACTATATATAGACCTAGGCAGAACTTCCGGCATATACTGAATACTATATATATTTCTAGGCAGTATTTCCGGCATATACTGAAAACTATACATATCCCTAGTCAGAACTTCCGGCATATACTGTGCATTAGAACACCGTGACACACGTGGTTTAATTAGCTTGTTCATCAGGGCCATCATTCATCAAAATTAAAGGATAGCGTCCAGATAAAGAGGCTCCCTATTAAATGATTGTTAGTTATCATGTTTATCGAGCTCGGGTTGCAGTAGTTAATTTTCAGATTGTATAAAGCCATGAGATTAACCAGTGCATTTTACAGCTTGAAAATGAACCAATAAGAGTTGGATAAACATGCTAACCAGCCATCACAAGTTAGGGGATAATTTTCTCCCATAACATTTATATATTATTTGGAAAACCACATGTTTCCCATAATGTCTTTTTCCGATGGGGGCAACAATTGTCATGAGTCATGACGTCATAATGGAAGATGACGCCAAAGCATTGTATTCTGTGTCGTCATTATAAAAAGATTTCCCATGAAATCACGCTGAGAGTGTTAACCACTAGTGGGTAACCAGAAGTGTTTACCAACTCCTAGTAGGTTTATCAAATGAGTCGTGAGTGAGGACACATTTAGCTGTTGAAGTAATTGATTCTCAGTATTTACCAATTTAAGGTGAGTTCGTTGCGTCAACTTCAGCTAGGATGCCTAAGTTTGAATGATCCAAAGAGTTTAAAGTTATTTCAACTGCCTATATTACCGCACTGTTTCGTGCCTTGCATATAAATTTAAATTCACTGAATATTTCCATGTGAGACATCCACGCGTTAGAACGATAGTTTGATATAAAGAACATATTATACATTTCAAACCTACATATACACTGATACGGTTTTTCGATTTTTCTTCAACCACGCATCGGTACATACACGTATTTAGAATCTGGGTTCTTCGAATGCTATTACTGGTAATTGGTAGTATAGACTCTTAGGAAACTAAATAAATAAGCTTGTTCGCTTTGGTCATATGCGTAATAAGTTATAACGCAAGGTCACTCAATACTACATCATTACGCGTCATATCGGGGCAGATGTTCGAAAAAATCACGTTTATGCGTGTGTTTCACAGTTCTGTAATGGAACCGGTTGTGCTTCGTCATCAAGACGGACATAAATATTTAATAGAAGGCAGTTTACTGTGACCCAAACAGGTGGGGCTGGGGAGGAAGAGGAAGAGGAGCTATGAGGGGGAGAATAGGAGTATACGGTAATACATACATGTATGTATCGTAAGCGTTGCGGAATTTACAATCCATGAAATTCACAATCTATGAAACTTACAATCCATGAAAACAATTAATGAAATTTATTATTTATTTAATGTACACGTTTTATCCATACATTAGATTAATTATTCATGAAATCTACAATCCATGAAATGTATTATCCATGCAATTTACAAGTCATAAAAACAGGATAAGGCTACGGTCGAGATTGTATTTTTATTTCAAAGCATTGTTATATTACTTATAAATTATTTGTCAATGTATATAACTTGTCA